CAATGTAAGATATATATCAAAATATAAGTATCACGTCACTTTGACTCAGAAATCTACCCGTCGCGAAATGCCTTCTTGTACATGGCCTCTAATATCACATAGTGAGTAACGTGGTAGTACGTATTTGATATAATTCACTATTTCATTAGTAAAATATACAAACAAGCATTATATATTAGTCAGTGATGCTTCTTGAATATTCCTATTTGTATTAAAGATATAAATGAAGACAAATATACCTTCGATACAAATAAGAATATTCATACAGCATCACCGACCAATATGCAATGCTTGTTTGTACATTTTATTAATACTGCATTTAAATGATAATTAAATTTACTTTATATTAATTTTCTTATTTCATTACAAATGACGGTAAAACTTTTGAGAATAATAAAGAACACACTAACGGTGAAATCAAAAGTGATTAACATGCTAACAATCATAAAAATTGACTCTATTACCAGAGGTGTCCAAATGCCACCCACGAGCTACAAGCAATTACAAGCCTCCCCTCGTGGGTTTCCCCGACAACCGATCTCAGATTGACTCGAGCGAGTCAACCTGAGTTCCGTAGTGGGGGTACCTCCGGAAGGGAAGAATGCTGCTCGCAAGTGGTATATAGACACCTCTGGCCCTGTCCTTTTTAAGGGACAGACTTTACAAATACTCGTTTCTTCTGAGTACATACATGTATGACTACCATACCGATATGTTTAAGGAACATTGTATTCATGCTGGCCAAACACAGTAGTACCTTCCCTGCATTTAACGCTCACGTGAGTACACGCCAGCACGTTTCGATATACATATTACTACCCGTGTGTACGTAAAATTGGATACAATTCTTTGCTATTGACATCAAAACGACCGGCCACGACAATAATTTAACACGTGTACACTCATGTTAAATTATTCCATAACACATAGTTTTTCACGAGGGTGTGCATACCGATGCACAGACGACGCAATTCAACACGTCTGGCGTTTTATGGACCGATACTTTATAGGTATTTGGAAATACGAATGAAACCTGAAACACTGGTTTCAATTTTTGAAACGTGCTGCCGAGTCTCGTGGTATTGCGTTAATTGCTGTATGTAACATGCACATCTAAAAAGGCACCACAATGTTTTCCCCTCTACTTTAAACATATCGATGTGGTTTCCGTTCTTTCGATTCTATATTCCTCGACATATACATATTTCATACATTAATGTGTTCAGTATTATTTTTCAATCAATTGACCGTACTTGTAAACAACACTAGAATAATTTTTATGTAATCGTCTTGATTGATGAAGACATTAGTAGAATAATTTTAGTGTAGTGAACTCTAGTTAACTGAATAATATAGTACCACGTTCTCGATTAATAAAAAAAATATCAATTGTTGTAAACCATAGGACATCTGGTCCCAAAATATCAAAGATCAATATTAATCAATAATTTCACGTTAAGTTAATCATTTGTTTGTAAATATACTTTCAATCCAAAGTATTTCTGAATTATATTACTAATAATAAACGCGGCGTACAAGAAGACCCTAGCCTATCTAAGAAACACAACAGATCGATGTCACTACTCGCGGATATGATTGCATATCCGCGTTCACTGTACTCGCAATATTAAGCACGTATACAACCAGTCACCCGTGCCGCTTTGGACCAATCGTCCTACGACATGATTGGGGACCAGAGGAACAAAAAGCATGCGACTCACCCGATGACAGAAGGGCTCCGTCTAAGACTCTAGGAATCTGGAAAAAAAAAGGAACAAAATGCGTTACAATCTCTTCTCAACATTTTACTTATTTCGATTGAATAATGTAAGTAAGAATATTTAAAGATGCTTACAGTCTTGGCGGGTGGAGCTTCGCCCGAGGACATCCTCTGGAATAGTCGTTAATACAGCGCCTGATGAATCTGATAAAAAAGGAACAGAAATCGTTAGAACCTCGTCACAAAATTCTAGCTGTTTCAATTGTATAGTGTAAGTAATAAAATATAAAGATACTTACATCCTCTGTAAACAGAGCTGCGCAAAAATATTCTCTTCAGTGATGCATTGACTCTAGTTTCGTGACTCAAAAAGCAAAAAGTGTCCCGACACTCTGACAGTAATAATTGATAACACGCAATAAACACTGACTCTACTTTCGCGAGAACCTAACATCTCCGGTGAGATTCTACACGGAGCCAGTTCGCTCCGTATAAACAAAAAATACGATACAAACACTGACTCTATTCGGTCGCATTGCGCGCGGCCACAAAATTCTCTGAAAGAAAAGTACATGGGAAAAAATACAATACGGCACACTTGTGCCTACCTACTGCTTTTGTTTCTGTATCCTACCAAGTGTTTGTCGAGAAAATATTGCCTTTCAATAATTAGCATGAGCTCAAGTATTATTAAATATTACAGAATAAATATTCAATTGCATATAAATATATAAAATCCTTTATACGCGTATATTTAATATTTATGTATCATATTAAAGACATTTGTTGTTAGAGCTGTAAGCACGTTCATTTTCTTTGTCTAAACCACGTCCCGATTTTTGTAAATATTCAGAAAATCATTACAAATATCAAAGCTTCGTTATTTATCCATGCTCCGATGAGCACAGTGAATTACGCAGTTTCTATATAATCAAACTTACAAACGAAACTATATGCAAATGCAAACACGGTGATCCCATAAAGATAGACAGGTGTAATTATTAATATTAAAACAATTTCGCGACCGTGACACAGTAAATTACGAATATTTCGAATTTAAATGTTTAAAATTGAAATGTTTAAATTTTCCAACGGCCACGGTAGCCATTGTGAATTCTTCAACTGCGCAATTAAATTCAAAGTACTTGCCCGAAGAATTCTCGTTCGATCTTTGCACAATAAATCAAAAAATCGCGATCGTGCTTACAACCAGACACAATAGAAACACGATAAAATGAAAATATATAGTATATTATCACCTATTTGTTGCAACAAGTTACCAGATTTTACCAATGGTCCGTCAGGGCGTCGGTGGGACATCCTTCGAACCGGTCCTCTGAAACAGAAAATAAATGCGTTTACTCCAAGCAATTACATCAAGTTACAAATGGTTTCGTTACAAATAAATAACTATTGTATTCGAGGTCTGCCGTAAAAGATTGTAAATGGAACCAGAAATGCGAATATACTATGGCGTGGATAAAGAAAGTCGCGAAAACCGATCACCTTGTCCCGTAATATCGAATTAGTTTACGATAATTTACTCTAAAATGAATAAATATTAAACGAAAGTAACGATAGAGAATTAACGAAGGCACTAATAATTCGCGTAAATGATTAGATGTGAAAAGTAAAGATCACGTACTTGTTCTTCGACGGGAGCGAGCTCGGTTCACGTCTTATCACCTCAACTTCTTCGACGCGAATGACCGACGCGACAAAGGGTCCTAGGCCGCCTTTGAATGCTCGCGTTCGGTTAATTCGGCTGTCTTAGGGAGATGGCGAGGGTTTCCCCTTTCCGTCTCACTCCAATTTGTGTACGACCTTTTTCTTTCGTATACCTGCGATTAGCTCAACGGGCACTGACCCACCTCAAACGGAAAAATAAACACACAATGACGACTTCCCAGAAATTTAGTCAAAGTCATATGTTTTGTACATCTGGTTTCCAACGAAAGTTTACATTCCATTGTACCCTACGACTAATGAATGAATTCAACTGCGTACATATCCCAGGCTATCTCTGATAATTTGTTATTTCAATTCGTCTTAAATGGAAGGTACTGATATACAATGCCTATGGGTATGTTTACTGCCCCTTTGTCAAAGTTTTGAAACATACGGTTTTTCACACGAACATGGGTATTCCACGACAAGCGGACCACTTTTATACATGATGTCTGGGATTTTAAATTGAAATATACCAGAAAGAATTTTGTTATAGATGGAGAATGAATTAATAATTTGTTATATATTTCAGATCAAATAACTTTGTACATGAATTACTAATTTTTTTCACATAATACCTTAATATTTTATTACGCAGAATGTTTAGAAGAATCCAATTACGTAAAAACAATATTTTTATTCCATAATATTTCAGTATCATTGAAATGAAAACATAATTAACTTTCAAATTTAAGCAAATTCTCCACTTATGAAGAAATTATTACTGTTATGTAATAGGCCACATCCCTCTTTGTGAAAAAACGTTTGGATATCTTTTAAAATTAACTGACGCTTTTTAATTGATCAGTTCCTGGAATTTTGGCCCTCTACAGCCCCGAGATGATAAATTATCAAGCGCCTAGTCGACATATAAACATACATGATGGTACACAATTGGCTAGTAACTTGGATGTTTTGTCGTAGATTGCAGCACGAGACCTTCAACAACATTTTCAACTAAATGTTGTATACGTAAATATTAATTAAAAGTGTTGTAACCAGTTGATGTACAATATCAACTCAAAAGGCTTTGTTTGATATCTCTAAATGCATATCTCGTACATATATAATATGTTCAAAAGAAAAAGAAAGTGAGAATAGATCCTGATTTATATTGTATAAATGAAATAAAATTCAGTCTCGATGTATGAATATATACATATATATATATGTATACAAAATATGTATAATGTATATTCAAATTACATGAGCATATACGTATAGTAAACACACTCGTTATATTAGAAAGTAAATGCTATCACAGTTGGATACGAGTGGCAAATTGGAATTAGGTGGCTACTGGCCAGACCTCGAGAATGATAAAAACAAAGTGTGAAAGCGTGTTGAGACTGTCCTGTAAAGACGACGGGGAGACGGTACTTGTTCATTGCACACTGTATGATTCGCCTTTGATATTTTTTTGTGAAAAAGAAGTTGAGAGTGAACGGATAAATGAGCGGCGAACGACTGTATCGGATAGGGGAGGAGAGTGAAAAAGAAAATGAAAGAAGTAAGTCTGTGAATGTCAAGGGGAAAGATGGAGTGAGTGAAAATGAGGGAGGAAGGATATAGGAGGGAATGGGCGAGTAAGTGACAGAGAGATGATAGAGAAGGGGAAAGGAAAAAAGGAAGGCATATAGGATGCTGCATAGCCAGAGTAGTCTTTGGATGCTGTATTTCCGTTCCTGGTCAGTAGTTAATCGCGTGTCGCGACGTTCTCTCGGTTTATTCGTGGTGTCATTCGATGTTCAATGACTGATAAAGTAAGAATATATCGGAATACATTTGATCGTGATGCTATCAAGAATCGAATAAACATGCCACATTTCGAAAAAGGAATTATTGTCTTTATGACCAGATCGAACATACCGATGAGTCGATTGTGAAACACAGAAAAATTTACGCATAATAAGACACCCAAAAAGTGCGGCATAGATCGTAAAACAAAGATCGAGTATGTACTTCTCGTTACGAAATTTCAATTGATTGTTTCGTTCGTTTGTGGTGAACAGGAGAATCGTGAGACGACATTAATAAACGTGCTGCGTTTGATTAAGGATGTCCTCTGAATTACTCGGTACATACCGAAGAAAGAGTCCACCGAATAAATATATGTAATACAACCGAATAAGATTGCACTTACTATTGGCAAGAGTATTTTTTTCGAGTCGACGAGTTTACGAATCAAGTGTTGGTCGTCAAAATTGAAGAAAGTTACCCGTTAACTTTCACTAATAACTACTAAAGGTGTGATGGTAGCGGTGTCCGTGCGTAGTTCAGAAAGTTGTGCTCGCGGGAGGAAAAGAACCAGGAACGTGTTACGAGGAGGTAACCAACCACACGAAGAGACGATGTGCCACTTGTCTCGGTGACCTGGTTTCACGACCCACTTTTCCACCGGACCACACTACGTTTGGACGTCTCCGCCACGCTTCGCGAGCACTTGCGGTACAACGTGTTACAAGTTCGAGAATAAGCTCGGCAAAGAACTCGGCTTCCCCTGTCTTCGGCAGGATTCTGTTCAAACGTCAAAGTGAACTTTACAGGGGTAAACTCTATATTGTTTATCACCGCTTTATATTGTTCCTGATCAACGATTATCTCTAGGTGAAGAACAGAGAGGTGTTCCAAGAGAATTCTAAGAGAAGAATAAGTGTATGTATATATCTACATAGGAATGGGATGCGATTGCTTGTAACTCTGCAAGATCGTTAATTTTCAATTTACCAAAGGGGAAACAGGGATATAGTTCACGATGATGTTTCGTAAATCGTACTTTATACCAGCACAGTTTCTTTATCCGCGTAAGTCACCGGAGACACGCGACTCCCGACAATTTCTGGATCGATGTCGTTAAGCCCAAAGTTTCCAAACTGGTGGAAGACTGAAAGGAGATTGATCGAGAAGAAGACAGAAGAAGCGACAGTAGTTTGTCGTTTGAAAGTTTAGTGTGCGATCGTACCACATCGGAGAACGGTTGACAGCGGGCATCAACGACATCGAACGAAAAGCCGAAATTGATCGCTGTAGATCACCCAGAAGAGAAAAGAAATGAGCTCGTTTGTACGCTCACTTTACAGTTTTCTTTTCATAGGCCTTTATTGTTGTGCCGCTGAAAGGAGGAACGATCGGTATTTATTGGATTTCGGTGAGTTCTTTAATCGAAGAGAATGAGACGGGCATGTTTATGCCGTCCTTAAGAAATTTCTCTCGAAAACATAAATTCCGTATCGATGAAAACGCTTTCCACGGACATCGATCGTTATACATTTATGTGTGTCCCGTGCCAACCATTAATGTAATTACCCGCTTCGATTTTAGATTTAGTCTACGAGGAACCAACAATGGAAAACGCAGTCGACACGGATGGACAAATGAGATTTTTCGACGAACTGGGTTGTAAGTTTCGTACGATAATACCCCGAAGAAGAATTGAATAACGGGAATCGTAATATATTTATACATATATATATATATATATAGTTTTACATCGAAATTCCTACACTACACCTGAACGTACCTTTAAGGAGGAAGATACAACTCGTCCGTCTACCGTCCGTCCATTCTTTCGCTCGTCGTTTGTGCTTCATCACCATCATTCATACCTTCAATCATCTATTCAAGATTGCTGAAAACCATAAACAGTTTATAAGGTTCGTCTCACCGATTTGCCAAGCGGATACAACCTTTGATTTTTAAATAATTCTCAGCTTGCAGCCACGTCACAGTCTTGTTTTATCATTTTGCTCCCTATCGATACGCTGATCGAAACATAACTGTGCGACAGTTCCATATTCAAGTTTAAATATACTTGTGAAACATTCAATGTTCAGAACATTAAAACTAGTGACTTTTCTAAAACTCGTTTATACTTCACGATCAATTACACCTCGAAAACATATTCAATTATACTTGAACAAGACCTAGAACGAACCACAAAGCAACGCGGAAAGAAAAGAGATCTCGATTCTTCAAGATATTTGTATGATTAGAGAAAGGAACGAAGAATAACGCGGAAGGTGTAAAAGTATGGAGGAATGAGAGAGGTAGACGGAAAGAGAAAGACAAAAATAAAGAGAGCGGCTGATGTGGGATGGTGGGGTGGGAGGATGTGGAGAGAAATGAAGAGAGACACAGAGAGACAAAGAGACAGATGGAGAGAAAAGAAAACAAAGGAAAAGGAAAGAAAAGAAAAGAAAGTAGAAGAGAGTGAAGAAGGGACAAGTGGGGAACCAATGTCAGGGAAGACGCGTCGTCGCTGGCGATGGGAAAGCTGATGTGGTGAAAGCCACGCGAACGCAGAGCACCTCTCTGGATACCGGTCGAGCCTTGCCAGTCAGTGAAATACATCAATGGGTGTTAGTTCAAATGGACGACGATCACGGACAAAGCCTGCCAGAACCGTACTCGTGGAATCAGGATCGATAAGTGCATCGTAGAACTTGTAACATATCTACAATAATCGAATTGTTTCCGGAAAAAGGTAATTTTGTACCATCGACTGGTGGGAACTGCTGATGCGCGCACCTTCCTTGACATTCGAACGCAAATTTGCGTATAGTTCGATCATATAGATCAAATCGATCGATCGATCGGTCGGTCGATCGGATAAAGGTAAACATGATAAAGGGATGGATCACCAAATATTTCTCCAAGGTTATCATCTGTCTATCCGATGCTCTTTAATAATGAACAAATTGGAATGTCGGTGAGATCGAGAAAGTGTCGCTTTCAAAGACGAAAAGCAACTCGCATAATAAATAGTTATGATACAAAATTGTAACGGTATGTCCGTTTCAATGTAATTTAATTGAATAATTTCTAGAAGTTGGATCATGAGAGTCATCGTCGTTGTGTATATGCTAGTAATTACGACTGCCAATGCGTTCTATTATGTTACATACGACGACTACGATGCAGTGAATCAGAATCGTTCGATTTTATCTTCGGCGCCAATGACATCGATCTACGACTTGTTTTTCAAGCTACAGGCTATAGGCCCTTTAAACGACGAAACGAACGAAAAGTATACGTCGTTGGTCGACAACGTACGATTTGGTCACCATGAGAAACACACCTCGACGAAGTTGCGGGTACAGAATCGAGCGGAATCGTATACAAGAAAGCCTAGAGAAGTGAAAAGATTAGACAGCCGTCGGTCCCTGAGCCGAGTATTTCAGAAAAGAAAAGACTTCGATGTCTCGACACGAGAGATCGGTACGGAAAAGTGTGCCGATCCGAAGAGACGGGAATTGTGGAATAAAAATCGTGAAATCGACGGCAAGCCATGGAATACTTTTTCCCGAATGATAACACAGTCTCGAGACGCGTCCGAGTATTTTATTCGCAAAAACTCGTTCGAAGACCCGGCTACCGCAGAAAACGCGAGTCGTACGAAAGCAATTGTCGGAGACCGTGCAATTGAACACGATGACATTGTTGACGGGACTCGTAATTTCACGTTTGGCGAGGGAAATGTATCGCAACTACGAGCAGCAAGTGAACTAAACAACGACGATGGATACTCGATGAATGTTCGTGAAGGCAATGACCTAAAAAGCTTGTTGGACGAACTAAAGAAACGCACGGTTAAAGGTGAATTGGAGAAATTCGTAATGACCAACTATAGGCAAGGAAGGAAACGAAAATTCAATAGTCAGCAACAGGGTACCATTCTTGTCGAGGCTCTCAGGAAAAAACGAAATAATACAGGGGATAATCGGGGCCATAACAATGAACTCCAGAACAGCATAATGGATATGTTGGGTAGAAGTATGTTCCATAAACACCTATTTGAATCGAATTTTTCTTTCAAATGTAAATAGTACACGGTATACTGTAACCATGCACGATGAATACACGATTGCACGTCAAGTTTTGAAAGGGAACGAGAGGGCCAGATGATGTTACATATTTCAGAAAATACTAAACGTGGTAAGGGCAATAGATAGTGACGGTTGGGGAACAGTGGACGATGGACGATATATGACAAACGATGGACGATGAATGGTGAACGGTGAACGGTGAACGATGAACAATAAACGATAATCGATAAACAATAAACGGTGCAAGATAAACGATAAATGACAAACGGTAAATGGTAGATAATAGATGATAGACAATAGACGATACACGGTACAGTAGAATAGACAGTAGACGACAGACTGAATATGGAAAACGATGATCAATGGATGGTTGGTAATTCAAAAATAGTCTTAAAGAATATACCGCGTTCCGACGTCGTTTAATACGTGTACTCATTTGACTTTTCTGCACGATATTGTCATTACACATCGAGTTAACGATTTCACTTATGAAACCATGGTTTGAAACGAAAGTAGTCGAGTATTTATCTCAATAAACAGACCGAAAGACAGCAACGCGGCGTAACGCAGCACGACGATATGTACACTACATACATACGTAGATATGACAGAACACAACAGTACACGATGTGTTGCGGCCATTGTTAACGCAACATTATAGGACAGGACTTGATGCGCAATAGACGTAGTAGATACATGATAATGTGTAAACAATGTGAAAAGCACGGAACGTAAAAAATTCATGTACCTTAAAGTGTAAACCCATGTATGTTTATACGTGATATGTTTGTTTTATTTGGACCTATTGGAGTATGTATTTTGTAAGGGAATACAAGTTGCAGCAGAATTTGTTCTTGCAACATTTATGTTGCTGTTTCATGGGCAGAATATTAGGCGTGCAATATAAATGGTTGTTGGCCAGGTGGGGGTTTAGGGGAGATGCGAAAGTTAGCTGGGTTTGCGTCACATTTTTTTATTGCAAATATGTTAGCGTTTACTGGTAGGGGTTAAACGGGATGTAGTCGTTCAATTTTATACGGAGATTGGGAAGTCACATGATGGAGGTAAGTTCAATTTTGCAAGTCGGTTTGAATTTGAAAAAGTAAAGCTGACCTGGAAACCTCCACCGCACTTTGTGTCCACATAAATCAGACGTAGTGAATGCAAGGATTTGACTTTTCTCTTGACTCTTTTGAAGGAACTCGGAAGAACGTGCTTACCTCTGTGATCATTATGTTACAGTGATACCACAAACGTGTACGTACAAGGGAGCAACTTTCGATTGCGGTCTTAGTATCAGTTGCGTCCTAGGCGGGGGCCGTCCGGTCGACCTCTGTTCCGGAGGATTGATTTGGAGTTGTTGCATCGACGATGACGATGTCCCGGAAAAAATACCACGACCAACCGCTGGGATACTACAAAATGCTAGTACGTTTTAGTTAAATCTTTTCTCATTTACTTATTATCATTATTGTTCTCATTGTTATATCACGAATCTGCTCGAGGCGGTATTCAGTATTTGGTGTTCCGTATCTGAGTTTACAATTCACATGTTTTAATAATCGTGTGAAACGTTAATGGAATGTATCAATGGTGAGAAAGGGTGAGATCTGTAACGTTACGTGTAAAATGAAAACGAATGAATCCGTTCTGTTCTTCTTAAATATGAGGAGAAGAAGGAGAAAGATGAAAGACAAAGAAAAGGAGGAGGCGTAAGTGAAGGAGGAGGAGGAGAAAGAACGAAATGGAGAACAAGACTATTCGAGCTGAATCTCCAGCATGCGCGCACCTGCGTGTATGCGGAGATCGGGATTGTTAAAACGGCAAACGTAATATCGAGGTTGTTTAAACGTGTAGCACTTTCACTAAACTTGGGACATCAACATCCGTACATGGACGATGATGTTCAAATCTACGAGAACTCGGCAAGGCCGACCAAACCGATGCAGACCGGTCAGAATGAACACACCAACCGACCGAGCTACCCGTACGCAGACAACGCGAACAAGCCAACGACCATTTACGAATCATCGCAGACATGGAATTACAATCGACCTGTATACACGAGTCATCCACCATATTATCATCCGATACAGCTTGATTATCCTCAAGACGAATACGAAGCCGATTATCCCGATGCTTTGGGATCGCATACACCGAACGGGGATGCCTCAAGCACCGTGGATTATTCGAAATATCGTGGTAATCCGCATGAAGTCGCACAGATAATTTGCACAAACACTGCATAGTTTATTCTTACTCGAATGCTAGCTAACGCTCGTGACGGTTCACTGGAAAAGGTTGTGAAACCATTTCTTTATTTCAACAATACTCGTATTATAACCTATCGATGTCGAGAAACGAATATCGACCGTTAGAAGCGAACATCCTGGATCTGTTGCACAAGGAGTAAATGGGAAAAGGAATACATCTGTTTTTTTCTTTTTATTCGCGACCTATCCTTTATAGATATATGTATACATATGCATATGTATGTTCACTTTTTTTATTTGTACCGCTTTGCACGCTTTTGCGCGAGACTGTACCACCATAGCAATAGGTGGGGAAGAGGTATGACGATCTAGAAGCTGGAAAAGCAAAGAATAACCGTACTATGAAGGCGAAAGATCGGTTGTTACACGCATACATATCACCAACGACGTATGTATGTTCTATTTGGGTAACGCGTTATTCGGTCGCTTTACGCCTAAATACAAAAACGTTTATGTTCTCCGATATCGCTGCGCTGTCCACGGATTTGTCGATGAGACAAGTGCTTTTCTGTCACTTTTCCTCGCAACATGGACACGTTCGCCTCACAGTACACCACCACATATACGCTCAATGGTTTTAGCGGTAGTTTGCAAATGCAAGAAAATAATTGCAAACTGTTATAGAAATGATAATTTCTTTCTCCATGGTTTACAGGTTGCGGTGAACTGTACACGAGAAGCAACAGAATAGTGGGTGGACATAGTTCCAGTTTCGGTAGTCATCCGTGGCAGGTAAGCTCACGAATCGCCTTGGGTTTCCATCGATTCGAGTTAAACTTATTCGATCTCGATCTATACGAAGTCTGTTCTATTTTCAATTTTCAGGCTGCCATTATCAAATCAGGATTTCTTTCGAAGAAATTGTCCTGCGGCGGTGCTTTACTGAACAACAGATGGGTTGTGACAGCGGCTCATTGTGTCGCGACGTTAGTATTATACTTATTACATATTTAACGATAAAATGATCAACGATGCCTGCCTGAAAACAATTTTCTAATCGACTTTTGTTTGTTTATTTAGGACACCGAATGGAAACTTGAAAGTACGTCTGGGTGAGTGGGATGTGAGAGACGGATCGGAACGATTGTTACACGAAGAATTCAACATCGAGAGGAAGGAGGTATGTAGCACACGATCAGCAGTTGTTTCAGTAACGGGACGAAATAAATCATTGTCTTTTATTTCCTCTTACTTATATGACATGATATAAAGCGATTAAAATTGCTAAATTTGCTATGCAACGTGACAGGTTCATCCCCAGTATTCACCGACTGACTTTCGAAACGACGTGGCGTTGGTAAAACTGTCGAGAACGGTAGCGTTCAAGCAGCATATCGTACCTGTTTGTTTACCGGCGAAAAATTTAAAACTATCTGGACGTACCGCAACCGTAGCTGGCTGGGGTAGAACCAGACATGGTCAAACTTCAGCACCGACCGTACTTCAAGAAGTCGACGTAGAAGTGTGTAGAAATGAGATCACTTGAGGTGCATGCCTCACCTGACTGTTCATACGACACGAAAATTTAACTAGTACTTGAATTTTTAGGTAATACCCAACGAAAGATGTCAAAGGTGGTTCAGAGCAGCCGGAAGGCGAGAAACTATTCACGACGTTTTTTTATGCGCCGGTTATAAGGAGGGTGGACGAGATTCTTGTCAGGTAATCAACTACAGACTCCTCTCGATTATCGTCCTCAAGTCCGCGCCAGGACAATAATCTTATAGGAAGGAATACTTCAGAGCATCATAAATTCATTTTTTTGAGCGGAGGAGCAACATTGTATGCGTTTGGCAGGTTTCCCCCCACCTCGTCCAGTGGTGGGGATAATGCCTGGACAATAATCGTATAAAACAAGCCAGACAATAATCGAGAGGAGCCTGTACCATTAAACTAAACGCAACCACCATATCGAAGGCTGTCGAAATGCGATGCGATCGTCTCTGAACACTGAATAATTTAAGAATTCGTTTCAAACAGGGTGATTCCGGTGGTCCATTAACTATGTCCGTCGAGGGAAGGCATGTCCTAATCGGTCTTGTGTCCTGGGGGATCGGATGCGGCCGTGAACACTTACCCGGCGTATATACGAATATTCAGAAATTTGTACCATGGATCGACAAGGTCATGAGTTAGATAATTTAATGATCCACGACGAAATGAGAAGAATATCGGGGCTACACGGTAGTAATTCAACGGACAACGACAACGATACCGACGATATAAAATAGTATCCGTACCTACCAAAGTTCACTAATGACTGACTCATTGTACCACTTCATAAATCGTTCATCTATATTAGGTTCTTCTTTACAGAATATTTATATGTTTGAATTTTCAAATCGATGTCTACTGTATCATCAAATATAATGCCGACATTAAAGAAAATTATAATAATAACAATGATAATTATACCAAGTACATATTAGCAAACATTACGTTCATGTTTTTAAAAGAGAATTTTCGTATTCTTGATATTACAATGAAACACGACATTCCATTCTTATTCATGAATTTATAGATACAAATAGAAAGCTTGCTTATCGTTTGATAATTATTTCTACGTCTCTATGAGTACATGTGGTACTTTACCAACGAGGTTGTTCTCTATACGTATGCAAATCGTAGACAAGTAAGTATGTGATACATGTATCATCATTTGTTTGACAGGATACAGTATCCTAGGTATTAACGAAGAGGGCTATTTAACTTTTTACAGTAAAAAGTATTGGATAATCGAATAGATTTTCTTACTGTCAATTTATTAGGTCCCTACTAGATCTACATTCAAGATACCTACATTACCGAAGGACATTCCAACGGTTATCAGCAATCGATGCATCCGAAGTAGTAGGTAATCGTGTGTAGTACCCACACACGTATTTACATATATGTACATATATAGATACGCAATCTAAGAAGGTGACAACAATTTGTTATGTATAATTGATAATTTAAATCAAAGCCTTCTGATAAGAAATGAATAAAAAACAAACAAGAGAAAGGGAAAGCAGTAATATGTAGTATGATTGATAATTGACAAAGATGCCATCTACAAATATGTATAGGTAGGTACATATGTACGTATGTATGTACATTCATAGTTGAAAGAACGAGTAGGATTTGAATACGTAGGAACGATAGAGTTACAGACAAATTAATCTACGTATAAAAGTACTATTCCTAAACTAAGTACATACCTACACTATAACAGTATAGGTACCAGTCCTATATTCTGTCGCATCATAGACGGAGGTAATATGTATATATTATACTGTAGGAAACTGGTATGTATCGAGAACGAAAGTAATATATACCTGGCGAATCCCTACTAATAAAATGAATTATGTAGAACGAGTACTCGTGAAACAACAGCGTACTCGTTAGTAAGATCATTGTTAACGGGCAATGATGACAGCCAAGAAGAAAACTTGGCTATTACGCGACTGGACAACTTATCGTATGGTTGAAGAAACGAGTGGGACATTGGATATCCGGTTACTACGAGAAGCATAGACCAATTCTTGCTCTTCGCGAAGGCTTGGTAACAGTTGTAGAAAGAGTAAAAGAGACAGTGGACGAAGAGGCAGAAGAGAAACTACGGGAAACGATGAGGAGGAGAAAGGGTAGGAAGGGATGAAGTAACGCAAGAGGGGAAAGAGGTCGAAAACAGGGAGTCGGAGTAGGAGTAGTAAGAGCATGAGGAGGAGGAGAAGAACTAGGGGAGGGGTAGGAGGAGAAGGAGGGGAGGAGGAGGAGGAAACAGGTGAAACGTTGAAACGGAAGCGCAGAGGGTAAGTTGCTAATTAGAGCCAGATTAAACGCTTGTCTGGGGAACCATTTTCCTTGCCGTTCCTCGCCGTTCTCGGAGGAGGATGAGTGCGAAGCCAGTCGTGCTCCGAAAGAGAGAGGGGGGGGGGTAGAAAAAAGGCGAGCAGGCAAGGGTGGCTAAAGTTGCAACAGAGAGGGGATAACTCGACGCCGGTTGGAGGCAGGACCGAGCTTAATGAAAAGTGTTTGCCCCGTAAAAGTTAAGATTAATTGGCGCTCGGGGGGTGGTTACCGCGGTAATCAGCCGGAGCCAGTGGTTTTCAAACCTGGCATACTCGCTGCATGCTGTTATTTTTCTCTCACAGTTTCTTTTCAATATTCTCCTTTCTTATTGTGCATCTTTTATCGAACCACTCGTAATTATCGATCAGCTTTTCATGAACCTTTTTTTTTTTTTTTTTTTTTTTTTTTTTTTTTTTTTATTTGGTTCTCTGAATAATATTTTCGGTGGCTAAAGTATTCGATCCACATTCCTCGTGGGGGAGGACAACGTTCGGAATGTCGCACATAACGTGGATAAATCCAGGTTATATTCAGTAGGTACGTTTGTTCTGTAATGTAACGTGACTTCGTCTAATATGGACGAATCCGTAAATTCTAAATATTCATGTAGGTACATACGTAAACATCGTTGTTGCACGCATGCGTTCCGAATAACCGGTTGATTACCATCGTCAGAATTCTACTGCTTTCAATTTCGGTTGAGTGTTGCTGGAACGAGAGGTTAATTTGGCGACACCTAGTTTCATTAACAACGCTATTAAAAGTAATGGTCGATAAGGGCGAAACTCAGCAATGCGGCCACATAGGGACCGGGAGATTTTAATTACAGAACAGAATTCGAACCCAAAGTGAGACAGTAGGAGAATCGATAAAGTCACAAGAGGCACAAGGTTAGAAGTAATAAGATGTGAAGACCAAGGGAAAAGAGGAGACAAAAAAAGCGGAGAACTGATACTTATGGAATGGAGCGGAATGCAAAAGCAAAGTAGCCAAAAAACAAAACATAGGCTATTCCAGTTATACGATTTAAGAGGTATGCAATTCCTCCGATTTAGCTTAAAATCGAGGCAATCCTGACTGTGTATGTTTAAACGTGATGTTTGTAAAATTACAAGATACCTTGGATTTAATCCGCAAATTATTTGTGCGAGTTACCGATTTTGGTCTTTCGCGTGTAATCCAATGCTTTGTAAGTACTGTTAAATTAATTAACGCGTAATCGAGTCGACTCGAGTCGGGCAGAGGTAGTCTCGATAAAATACGATTAACGGTATTTACACATATACGAGGCAATGTCAAACCAATCCATGACACCAATTACGGTTTATCTACAGGCAGTGATACCCAATCAAGGTGTTGATCGAACAAGTCTTATCCCTGAGATAAGAACGGATAAATTAACCATCAAATCGTTAATTACTTTGGAGGACGGATAACAAGACTTTAGATAGTGTATGCCAGAAATTTGTATCGTTCAATTTATGAAAATCGATCGATTTGTCAATTAATAATTACGAATCCTATGCACAAGTTTAGTAACATGAATATTGTAATCGAAAGAAAATAGGCATATATGTACCTACATTTACGTATGTGTTAGTACATATTTAAAGTAGGTATATAGGCATGTATCTGCACAAGTTTATATTATATTATACACGTACATATGTACCTATTATACCTACATAATGAAATGTAACGAACGTTTACATTACCCAGTTGGATTTTTATCGCCGAATACAGCGATTACTAATTATTAATGAATAAATAATCGGTAGGTATACCTAATCGTGTCTGCAAAATCGCTACATGCTTTTAAGCGAGGTACGTGCATAATGAGCATGCTTGACGTGACTGAGAAATTGACACAAGGGTGGAAGGAAAACAAGTTTGGGTTATCGTGACGTAGCATAATCACCAGCTGAAAATCTTTCATATTTACTCGGCTGTCAAGGAAGGAAGGTGCTACCTGCACCTACATATTGGATCTATCTACTGTAAACGTACGTATACGTGGGCATACCTACATACCAACGAAAAATGGATGCGTCGTAATGTACATACAAACTTCAACGAAAATACGTAATTCGTCTTGTCACTTTCCCGAACGAAACGAACATTTTGAGGTTGTTTAAAACATATAATAGTTTTAGATATATGTAGTAGTTTGTCAATATACATTGTAGAGAAACCCTAACGATTCGATAATAAAATAATAATTTGTACGACATAATTTGTACGTTCGTCGAATAAATTTTACTTACACTAGTCTCTGCCATTAAACATGGGAATATGCAGATCGAGAGTCGTTTTAAAATTTTTCTTCCACGAATACGTTGAACGTGCTTCGATCCTTAAGTAAACAAGCTGCCCTCTGTGTATTATTTGGTTAAAAAACGGTGACCAGCGAACTCATACCGTTTACCTTCAACTCGTAGCCGTCGCGCTACATTCAAAGCATTATAGGAACACACACAGAGAGATTGCGAGGACTATGTAAATCATAGCAAGCAGGTATGAATAGAGATGGTGACTGTTTAACGATTCATTTAAGAACGAGTAATTAACTGTGATCTCGGAGTACAGTATCCTTTCTGCGAACCCAGAGACACGATTGTTTTCGGACACGAAGAAACGTTCGATAAAAATTCGGAACAGTCGACTAGACACTTTAAAAAGCAAAGAGAGTTTATCAGTGGGATAAGCAAATGCGTCGTAGAACTGATATAATATATATGTATACATATACATATATAATATGTATATATACATGTACGTGTACAAATATGTACATACACACGCACACACAAACAAACACATATACCGTGCTCGACAACCGATAACAGACCGATTACTCGAAAACTGGGCGTGATGCCCATTACGCAGCTATTAGCTGCTCGATAAAAGGGTAGATAGGCATATCAACGCCGTTTTGTTAAAAAGGTGTACGGACGAGAAGGTATGTTGCTATGTATCCAACGAAAAGGACACAATACCACCTTTCCGAGCGACGCAACGAAATTGATGTTACTACATAGACAATATCGGAAGTGAAAAATAGCGATAACAATAAAATGAAATGCTGATAGAACATATTGGGTATCAGATTTCTTAAATAATTCGGCGCCAAGTTCGTGATCATCCTACACTAGAACCCACAACCAATGTATTTATACATGAAAAATCTAGGAAGAAGGAAGTGAAATCACGATACAGTATCGTCGGTGGAGCAACATCACTCGGATTGTCGGTGGACGGCAGCCAAATACCCTCGCATTACCCCAGCATAGAAACGAAAGTTGGGTGCATTCCTTCACCCCTCAATTTTCTCTAAACGTCACATGGCACCAACTGCATATTTGTTCTCCTAAGCGCGCATTTCATACTCGTCGTGGGGGGGGGGGGGGGGGAAGTGCTTCTCTCCGTGTCCAGTACTGGTCGACGACTCCTGCTTCCCGAATAGCTCCCTTTCTCCCTCTATCTTCTTTCTTCGGCTAGTCTCTCCTCTCGATTATTCGCCCCCGTTCGCCCCAGGTCCTCTTCCCTCTCTCTGTAACCGTGATCTTTCTTTGCCTTTCCGTACTTTCGTTAGGGGGTAGGCTTGAACGCACACGTCCAACTTTACCTATCTCTCTTCCATATAAGAACGGCACGGCGTGCAACGAGATCCTGATTTCATACTGCACACATCCGGGGCTTCGAGTTTCATGCAGGATGCGCCAGGTTCGATGTTCGAGGTTCGAGACTTGGGGCTCGGCAACTTGACGCACGGGAATCGGGAATCGGAACTTGAAACCGACGACACGGAGCGGCGGTTCGGGGCTCGGAGAAAAGGTGGAGGGGAACAAAGGGGATGCCGTAGGCGTGGCAGAATCGCGAGCTTTGCCGTGATAGGCGTGGCAGAATCGACTGACCGCGGAAACGCAGTGGCGGAGGGGGAGCGGTTTTCCCGTTACGTACACGCGGTTCCTTGCAACGTCACTTTGTGGCGCGGCGTCGGGTTAATCGCTCGTATCGCCGCGAAATCGAAACGGACGGGCTTCGATCGTCGGTCGCTGAAACGTACATCGATCGCGGACGGAATACATTTCGGTGTCGTCGGGTAAATCGTTTGACGGCCGGTCTTGAACTTGCTAGGGGGCGGGCTTTTGGATGGATGATTGATCGATCGATCGATCCGACGAGTTCCGTACACGGATTGGAAGTCGATGGGTCACCGAATCACCAACGGCGATCGATTACCGATCGCATTACATTATCTAACAGCACTGGGAAATGTTTATCCGTAGATAAACGGATTACACGTGGTCGGCGAAGAAACCGAATCCGTATTCCAAGTGGATACAATTAGTCCGAAGGTGGTTTATGTGGACGTATCCGGGTGAATACCGTCTTTCTGGACACTCGGTGAAAAATGCGTTAACGACTAGTTCGCCGGGTAGCGCGTTATCGGTTACGAGCTATGCATTTCGACGCGCAGGGCGCCTTGGAGAATTCGTATTTACGGCAACAGGAACGAGAACGTCGAGCCCATCTGCGACAAGAAACGAATCAGGATACTGTTTACGCGCAAAGTGTTCGGGTAAGTAGCCGTGGACAAAGTGGCTCGCCTCTGTTGTCGGAGGAAACGAGATCAGCCAGCAGCGTCCCGGTTGGGAGCGAAACCGTTGAAACAGTGGAAGAGGTACGTGTCGTGGCGAACGATTCTCCGTTGCAGCGCGAAAACGTGTCGCGAATGTCGAGGTATCGCGAGGAACACGACGCGAAACGACCATCCTCCCTCTCCGTTTCTGTCTCCGTCTCGAAGCAGGAGCACGAGTCGTCGAGTATTTTTCGAGATCGGGAGGACACCGCCGTAAAGTGTTTCACCGAGGAAATGGTGTCCGTAGTGGCGAATCGTTACAGGGGATCGGACAATTCACCAGACAGAACGTCCCCGCACGGATATTCCGTTCATTCGAGCGACAAACGGAACGTTTCGCTGGGCAAGACATCATTCTGCATCGATGCGTTACTTGGCCGAGCGACGGGAAAACAGGAGAATCTCGATCACGATCGATCGGAACGCGATCGAAGCTTTCCGCTCGCCACGAGAAATCCTACCGTCGACCTGAATTCCTGTTTAGGGAATAGCTCTGTTCTGCACGGTCACGAAAGGGTATCGCCTTGTACCCTCGGAATATCTGGAGGGGTCCTAGGTGGAATTTCAACGCGAACCGATGGAACGGATGATCAAAGGACGTCTTCGTCGTCTATGACAAGGCTCCCGAATCCGTTCGACAGACCCATGCAACAGAGCTCGGTCTCGCCGAGCTTGGAAATTGTTCGCGATGGAAACGACCGGCAAGACATTCATGAACAACCGATACGGGATGTTCGTTTGTCCAACATACGCGTCGATTCCGTAGAAGGTACAACAACCACCGCGACAGCGACAGATGTTTCGATTCAACGAGGCAAAACTATTTTTCGGGGGGATCGTGTGGCGATCGGTAACGGAGGATTTCGCATCGATCGATTGGACAGCGTCGAGGACGACGGAACGATGGAAGTCGATCCTACGAGAACCGGAAGCGCTAGTTCTGGAAGTAACGCCAGCCATAGTCCAGTCTCGAGTCCACCGATCTCCCCGGGATCGGAGGAACCTACCGGCAACGGTGTTCCTGGCAATTCGAATTTACCGACCGGCCATTACGGCGCACTTGGCACTGGTACCGCTGTAACTCGACAGAATCAAGCCCTTCTTTTACACCCGAGCGGACCCCTTATTCATCCCGGCGGATTGTATTATCATCCTGCGAGTGGCAGCGCGTTTCACTCGATACACAAAGAAGGCCAGCCCATTGGACACTCACAGGCTTCCGGACCTCATCCTCAGCAACATCACATTCATCCACTCCAACTGGAATGGCTAGCTAGGACTGGCATGTTATACCCCAGATTACCAGCCGATTTAGCTGGTAAGTATTCTCTTTAGTTATACTATTATCCATGCATATACCAGTTGTACTCTTACAAGTAAACTTAGCTTCCACTAGTGGACAAAATGAATGTTTAGTATCGGGAACTATTTGAAATGTATGGCAAATTAACATTCGGTTTAACAAGTATTTCAGTGTTTGAAATAAATTTATTAAATTATTTTGATCCCCCACAACACTTTTCAGCCTAGTGGAAGCTGAGTTTGCACGTCAGTGTACCTATTCGTACAGTTACCCTATCGACTGGTTGGAAAGTGTATTATTTATACTTGTCTTTATTACGTGATTATGAATACGATGCATCTTCCATATTTTTTGTCGTTGTGCACCTTTATCGTGTTATCGAGGGAAGCTATCCGTAGCTCGATCATCGACGGATGACCGAAATTATCATCCTTTCGTAAGAACCGAATCCTTCTTTACTTTAGCTTATCTTTTTCCGGGCGTTTACTTTCTCAAACGAAATTTATAATTTACGGATCATTCGAGAAGTAATCAGACTTACACGATAACGGTCACTGGTCGATCTGTTTAGACACCAATAAGCCAACTGTTAGGATCGACTGGGTTAGTGTATGTGTGCGTGTACGAATAAAATAACGTTATGGGAAACACTGCAATTGTAACGTTATAAGTATCTAGTCGGTGGGTGTGACTTTAACGTATACCATCGTTGTTCTATTGTTAGATTTGGAGATACAAAAGGACCACAGAAAAGTACATTTGATTGTTCCCTTAGTGGGTTTAAAAATCGCAAGTGAAAGAAAAACCAAAGAGCAGAACGACGTTGTGTTTGAAAGATGAGGAGTCGTATCTACAGCGATTGGTGGTATTAGAGGTAATACGGTGGACAGAGTAACATCGTGAAATAGATCGACAGATTGCTCGCACGATGGACAGATAGCGAATGTTTACATGCCTAATGTAGCGCTTCGCCGCCCTATATTGACTGGCTACTCAAGTTTTTAGGTCGGTCGTCAAACGATAACATCGAGGGGAAGGTTTTACAGCGCATCGTCGACAATGTGTATTATAATTAAGGCTCGGAACAATTATTTAGTTGTCTCCGACAATAGGACGAAAAAAAAAAAAAAAACGTCTAAACCAATCACAACATTTGCGTGACAAAGATATTCGACGGTGCCTAAGTGACACTCGATAAAACAGAGTGGAACGCTGAGGAATTCATCGAAAGATCGACTACGGCCGACGAATATTTCGCGACCGCGATAGAAAAGGATACGAGGCGGTTACCACGGTAAATTTCACGCTTGGAAAAAAGAGCCGTGGCCGCGTTGTCCAGCCAATCAGTCGAGAGCTTTTATCGAACAAATTGGTCGGTGAACGTAGCAGACCAGGTTGCCGAGATGGAACGAATCCGAATAAAGGGGAACCGAGATACAAAGAGAGAGTGAGAGGTGGAGAGACGATGAGAGTATGAGGGGATGAGGGAGTGAGGGTAAAGGGGTGTGAGAGAGAACGAACAGAGAGAGTGGTGCTCGGAGCGAAGCGCGGGGTACTTTCTGTCAGATGATCCTGATTGGTAGTTGCCGAGCAATCCAACGTCGACGAAAAAGGCGAAAAACCCGATAGCGTAAAACGAACAACGAGTACAAAAAAGCGGTCTCGTGGAATAAAATAAAACGATTGCAACCAGGCCCCACCTGAAACGGCCGTTATCGCGTCGGCAGGGAACACGGACTCAACTTGTTAAAAAATTGCCGGATGGGAGAGAGTATACCGTGTCCCGTTCAGCCCTCCCTGCGCTCTGTACGTACCATCTCCCTCTAACGCGACTACCCGTACCTACCCTTTCTTCCTTCCTTCTCTCCATCTCTGTCCATTTCTTTCCGTCTTTCTCTGTCAGTTTCACATCCTCATGCGCTCTCGACGTTATGTAAATAATGGTGAGTGCGCGACTCACCGGCTCCGCAGCGTGAGCTGACAGAGGGATTGGGTGGAGGTACGAGATGCGAGCTTTTATTTGCGGAATATTTGTCGCGCGTTATACTCGCGGCAACGTTCCGACAACACCATGTTTCATCTATCGCAAGTCGAGCTTTACCATATCGAAATTTAACTGGAACGACAACGCGACCGTGTCGCATTTCGCGAATTTCTACCGCTGGATGTACATATCCCCTGCATCCCGATACTTTTACACCGAAGTGTGAACGAAAAACTGTTCCTGTCGTGTTCTTAGATGTTACCACAAAATCACAGAATTTGTACAACGGTTGCACGTGTTTATTTTAATATACAGACTTTTGTCGATTATCGTCCCGAACTCGGGTCCGTGCCGAGACAATAATATTATAGAGAGAAATGCTTCGGACTCTTGTAAATTCGTTATTTGCTCGAGGTCCGAGCCTCAGCAACAAAGACGGTGGGGTAAGAAAATATGCGCTTGACAGGTTCCATGCCCCCTGTGGTGGTGATAACGACAATAATCGTGTAAAACAAGCTAGATGATAATCGAGAGGACGATTACGATATGTTAGGTACTAATTCCTACGTCCGTCATTATCTGAACCGGTTTGGTTGTACTAAATCGGATTAGAAATATGTATGCAGACACCTATGGATCATAGACATCTATAAACTTGTTCGATATGCTTCTCTGGTCGTTTTACTGTTAAGACTGGTATCTATACATTTTACGAGACGCAAAGGTGAAACAATGGCCGAAGATGTCGACGAGATGGCAGGAGATCTGCCAACAAAAGGGGGATGATACTCGAGAGATGAAGCACGCCAAGGGTTGGCGGATGATTTAATTAGTTAATTGTGCGTCATTCATCCGTCTATTCATCCCCTTTCGAGCTTCTCCCAACGATACCATAGTGCTGGCACCAGCGTTCTACAGTTACCATGGAAACTCCACGGACCTGGACGTCGCTCGAACGGCTAATTTCGCTCATCTTTGAAATGATCCAAGGACGGAAATCAGTTCGGTCCAGTTCAAGCAACGAATTTTTCCATTTCAATGTCACAGATGTTTATTTCTTGATCGGGCCACGCATTTTGTCAACATTATCCGGTTACAAGAGACATTAACATTTAAAAGTTGGACAAAATAAAAAGGACGAACACGTGGATGAGAGAACTGAGAGCTGTGCATGGACAAATTGGTCAAACGGAAGAGGCAGATTTAAAAGGATTGAAGGAATATCAGTGGCAGTGGAAGTGGCGGTAATGGTGGTGGTGGAGGAGGTGGTGCTGGTGGTGGTGGTGCTGGTGGTAGTAGCGGCCGCATCAGTCTACATACGTATCTATAGGCATATAAACGGTAATGGTGTTTCTGAATTAGCTGCCAGCTAGTTTGGCCGCCCGCAAGCAAACAGATCTTGGTTACCCGATGTGTAACGTGTTCCACGTTCGCCGAAACGCACCATCCTATATCACCATGATCTGGTTTCGTCGCGGCGCGTAGGTATGGACCTATCGGTTCAATGATACGGTAACGTGTCTCCACGTGTGCACACATATTCTGCGAATATAATTGCGTTCAGCGTGAATTTGCTCTGCGTGAAACCGTGTAAAAACACCAAGCCTTCGTTGAACAAAGCTGACGTATGTGTATAAAGTGTGTTGCCTAGAAGAAGGCCTCCGAAAAGTATACAAGTCTGATTGGTTATTCGGCACACACTTTATTTCTATTGGTCAGCGCGATGACATCGACCAATCAAAGCACACAGCACCATGTCTGAGCGAAGTGCCCCTCTTGCCACTGTGCCGTCTCGGAGGACTTCTTCTGAACAACCCACTTTACTTACATACATCTACCCCTGCCAGATTATTACGCGGGGAATAGAAAAGCAGTAACGATATCCCAGTCCCTGGATAATGCGGCGAGAGGGAAGCAAAATATCAGACGGTTACAGTTTGCAGGCAGTTCTATGGGAAAATTAAACGGTAACGCGTTGGATGTTTATGACGTGATTTGTGGCGAGAGCACGGGGCGAGTTTGAAATTAAATCCAACCATTTCGGACTGGGAAAATAATCTCTGACGGAAATTGGCCAACTTTTTCCTCTTTCGGAGTAAGAGGAGTCGATGACGTCTCACGATCGAGGGTGCAGGGAGATGGTGGGATACTAGCAACGTTACCCTCGCCCTTCGCGTCTTCCTTCACCTCCTATACGCGCGGAGGGGTTGAGAATTTGGAGGCGGGTCGTATCGAGGACTCGGGGCTACAGGCGGAGCTTCCGTCGCTATGCGAAACAAGGAGAGGGAAAATGATCTGGCGAGAGCGTGCGCGCGCGCGCGTACGCCCGCCCGCGTCGGCTCACACCCATCGACGGAACTTGAGAACGAGAGAACAAGAATGGGGATACGTGTGAGACTGGTAAACTAGAAGGCCTAGAGACTGCAGAAAATCGTAGGAGGAACCAACCGAACAAGGAAACGAATGAAAGAAAAGACGTTGGAGTACCATACACATCCCCTATACAGTCCTTAGTCCTCTCATCAATGTGTTCGTCCTCTTTATTTTTGCAGCTGAAAATTGGCCAATACGTAATATGTATTGTGTGTGTGTGTGTGTAAATCGATTTCGAGTGGTAATTTCTATGTACATACGTACAGTTGGTAAGAAAAGTATTCGAACACCCCTTTAAAATAGAACTTTTTTAAAATTGGTCCAAGTAACTTGAGTTCTTTTGTGAAGTTAGGGACATTAGTTTACTAAATGATGTGTCAACAAAATTTGAAAAAGGTGCAATTGGTCGGAATTGCGAAGAAAATAATAATGATTGCTTTTTACAATTATTATTAAATTTTCATTATATCCTCGGATTAAACAGTTGTAAAAAGAGGCCTTTACTATTTTCTTCGCGATTCCGACCAACTTTTTCAATGTTTTTTACACATCATTTAGCAAACTAATGTCCCTAACTTCACAAAAGAACTCAAGTCATTTGGACCAATTTTAAAATAGTTGTTCTGCTTTAAAGGGTATTTGCTTAAACCTAAATGGTCACTCATACTTTCAAGATTTTCGCTCATTTTCTTCTCCACGAAGGAGAGTTTAACCTAACGGATTGTCGACTGAAACAATGAAATTTTCATCGTTTGAAAAAGATGAACATACAGAAGACGAAGAGGAAAGAGAAGAAATAGATAAGGACTGAAGAGTGGTGAATAGAAAATCGTGTCAAGTATAGATAATAGCTGGTGTTTACCGGCGTGGCGATCGTTACGATTTAAGGGTGAGCTGGCGTGAAGCGGCTAATAGGACCCCCAAATAAATTAAATTATCATGATAAAAGTGTGGTGGGATGGGGATGACGTTAACCTTAACAGCACCCCACAGCTTTACCCCACATGGAGAAGTACGAAAATGGTAATTGTCCACTCGATGGTTGGTGCCCGCCGTCGCCGCCGACGCCGCCCCTCTTGTTTACCGACATCTGTCATAACTCGCGCACTCTCCTTTTCGCCTTAACTGCTACAGCGTTTCGGCTCGAATAAATCGGCGAAAATTGACAGAGTAAATGTCGGAAGCGCGATAACGAAATCGTACCTACTGTTCGATCTCTTACAATTGCCGATTTGCTCGTTCGTCGAGCTTCGTAATAAGAATATCCGACGAATACCGTCTTCGATCGTATCCAGCCGGGCGTAAAATTTGAGAAAAGGATACAACGGTGGTAAATCATGGAGGGTTGTATGGGGCAACAGGGGCAATCGTCCAAATAGTAATTGTTACGAGACACCGGGACGAAAATCACCAAACGGACCATATGTGCGCAGCGGGTGGTAAACCATCGTTTGGGGAAACGATTAATATCTATATGTAACGTAAATAGCGGAACCGGTGCTGTCAACTGTTCGTATCGAGTACCGATACGATGCAACGTGTCCCCTGTGTAACGTTATCTTAATTTTCAACGCTTAAGTAGGTACTAGATGCACGCGCGTCAAGGTAATTTTTATGAAAAACGCAAGGTGGCCACTAGATTTCTCGGAATTAATTATATCATTGAAAGTACCAATTCGACATTGTCATCACGGTACCTCGTACGTATAGATTTTATATAGGTACAGGTACATACATACCTATGATACAAACACGAGTGATATAGATACGTGCAATAGGAATGGTTTTTCAGCGCAGAAAAATGGAACGTGTTTCGGGTGACGAACGTTTGATTAAACGACTGATTAGAGACGACATAAGGGTATCGCACCTTCGAGATTAATCCGAGTATACGCGGGACTAAACACTGCCATGTGTACAAACATTGACAGCCGGTCACACATTTGCTATACCTACGGTTTAGCCGGAGGAGGGTGGAGGCGTTCGCATCGAAAGCCACCGTAAGGAGAAACGGTACAAATCTCTTGTAAAAATAAAATGATTTTTTTTTTTATGGAAAGACAACTGTATATCCAATGTCTTTATGTCTCGAGGAACATATCCTTCGTGTCGTGTGCCATTTGAAAAATCAGAGACAAACGCGTGATCGACAATATTATAACAGTTCGAAGGTTTAATTCACTATACATGTTAGTAGAAAATCGAGAATACGGATATGCGAAAAAAATAGCAAATTGGGTAAGGTTGATGAAAGCGTGTCGCGATGTATCGCATTACGGCAGGGGTTAAACTTCGCCTCGATTTGCGCTCGTGAAATCATAAGGGGGAGATTCGAATGCGACCAAGAGTCGACTCATAGGGCTAATCGTTAGGGCGGCTACCCTCGCCTTTCACCTTCCCCCCCCCCCCCCCCCCCCCGACCGTTTCCAACCCCAAATCATACCATCGCCACCCATAGGGATTTACACTCGCGATAATTGCATTAGCATTCGATGATTTTTATTGGTTTCTCGATTGGTATTTATACTGACGAAGCAATACAATTATTGTTAAACGTAATTTTATCGTATTATGCTTCCGTATCGGATGTGACGAATAACCGATACATTTTTTTAATTTTCCTATTTGCTTGCTTCAAGGTTGCGCGGCGCAGCACGCTCTTCTTGGGAAAACTAGAAGACCAAGAACAGCTTTCACTTCGCAACAGCTTCTCGAATTGGAAAAACAATTTAGACAAAACAAATATCTCAGCAGACCGAAGAGGTTCGAAGTGGCCACTTCGTTGATGCTCACAGAGACACAGGTAAGATTTTCATATTGCAATATCAACTTGGGCATAATGTGTAATACGTCGACGATACACACGCCATCAAGCATAGAATAATAGAGTCACTCGTGCTTTCAAATGACCGTTTCTATTCAAGACCGTGAAACAAAAACGGAATGAAATAGTGAAAAATGTATCGAAGGAAATCCATGAAGCAATCCAGGATCCTTTCCTATTGCCACACTAAATACGAACCGGCGATTCTCTCGCGTAGTTCAACAACTTAAACATAACTTCGAAGCTTACGTGTTCTGACGGATCGCTTGGCAAACAGCGACGAAAGTCTGAGTTATGGCAGGCTGAATCCCTGATTTGTTTCGATATTTAACCGATTCCATCCTCGAGCTTCTACTTTCCGAACGTCGAAACGTTGCGTCATGCGTCGTCTCCTGTTTCTCTTCTTGTTCCTTATTTTCTTTCATCGGAACGTCAACGATAAATAATAGTACAAAAAAATGCGTTTCTTATTCTCGTGTCGTGTGTGCACATGAAAAAATCGTAACCGTAGCCTCGGAATTAAAGTAATCGAGATCTTATTAAATGGTCCTCCTGTTTTTCTCATCGAACCATGCGAATCGTCGAATCAGAATAAGCTATCTTGAGGAACGGGTGGTAAGAAGGACGTCATAAAATACATTTGCCGATTTCCTTTATGCGTATCGCGGCACGTCGCCTCGCGTCGCGTCGGAATTTCATATCTTAGTATTCTTGTACGCTTACACATATACACAAGTAGGTGTATACATATATCTACTACACTGGGAAAAGGAGGCACACGCGATCTCTCCGAAGGGTGGAGATGTAATCGAGTCGGGAGTAAGGTGAGTTGGTTCGAGCGTATGATATATTGCCTAAAAGATTTACATCACTTTCGTACGGTATTAGGGTGAAAACATCGAGTTTTTGTACGTCTTGGGGGCGACTCGAAGAATTGCGCGTGTTAAGCTGCGTCTGCACTATATAGCGACACAATGTTGTACAACGAATTGTTATATAACTTTGCTGTACAACATGTTCTTATAACTTGTAATATAAATGGTTACAAAATATATGTTTTTTTAACTGAAATAATTTTTATTAGGTAAAATTATGTCTCCAGTATAGGCTCCCACAAAGCTCATTTTGATCGGTTTGTTAGTTCAACAGTTATGAATTACTGATAAAAGTTTGACACTATATTTCAAACAGCTGTCGAATCAACGATTTAAAAAATTTTCATAAAATCCTCCGAGATACGTTTATATATCACTAAACGCTAAAACATAACCAAGTGTCAACAAAATCCGAAATGTTACTGCAATAAGTGTCCGATTTCGCGTCGAATGCTCCAAATGTAATCAATTTTATATCTTTCCTATTTAAGTTGTTATACTGTACACATATGTAGTGTAGACACAGTTTTACGTCTCGCAGCCAGTGGTCGTAACACAATGAATCCCATCGATGATTGATTAGTTTGTTTAAATTCAGGTGAAAATTTGGTTCCAAAATCGGCGAATGAAGTGGAAAAGGAGTAAAAAGGCGCAACAAGAGGCACGTACGAATAACAAAGTGGAAGACGGAGGCAATACGAGGAATACCGAGAGGGAAGCTGGAAGCGGTGATCCTAGCGGAAACTCACCGAGTTCGCAGGAGGACGCCAAGGGAACATTACAGGACACACAACGTGGTACGACTGATCTGCAAGAACCGCTTTATCGGCCTTACGTGGTATAAAATGGTGAGCAACACGAACGATAAGAAAGAAAAAAAAACTGTTGTGCGCCAAATAGAAATCGAAAATAATCCAACCCGCTATTCTGCCGTGTTCGATACTTCTCGGTACGTTCGATTGTTCTCGAAGGAAGATTTACGATATTGTCAGCGTGCGTTGATGCTTAGTTCCCATACAGGATAATGTGTTAAACAAAAGGTTTACATGTAAAAGGGATTCGTGATCGTAAGACTCGATTGTTAGACTGAAAACAAATCGAAATTCAAATCGCATAGATGTACATACATACATAGATATATACATACGTACGTACGTACGAACATACATACATACATACATACATACATCCTACTTATGTACGTCAGTTTATTAATGTCGCGACACTTGTATGTACATATAGGGAACAAAACAATATATGGATTTAATTACAGGACGACAATTGTGCGATCGTATTCTACAGAATAACAACTGTTTTGGAATATTTCGGACAACGAGTAGATTATTCCTGACATGTAGTACACGTCTGTCACACGCGGTTTCTACGATCTGTATCACAAAAATACCATGTCCACGCCTTTGCGATAACGCATATATATTTCCGAAGCGTCTAAACGAGTGTATAAAAGTTACCGAAACGCGAGAAACATACGCGTGAAAGACTCTATCTTTACAATCGTAACTTTATCCTGACGTTATTCTAGAACTATTTAAATCGAAAACACGTACCTATTTATGATATACGATTCCATTGTAAATATTAATCCTGTACGACTAATGTAGAGAGTGCAATGCGAAGAAAACGTTATACCATGTTGCAACAAGTTCCTAAAATAAATGATGGATAACGGAGAAAAGACTTGACTGCATTTCACCGTGTTTATTTCGGTTGAAATTATATGTGAAACACGTGAATCAATCGCGACGCGTAAAAGTATATGTAGATAATGTATAAGAAAAAACAATCGTTTGATCGTCCGCAGATTTTCTCATGTATCTAGTCCCAAAGAAAGCTTGACGATACCAACTCGAAACGGATACGATCATAAGCTCCCCGTCTGGTGCCGTGTACCCGCACGCAAACCGGATCATCAGTATTTATGATATGCTAATTCCCCGTTACAAATTCCACGATGTTTCGCGGATGACTGCTTCTACTGGCTGCAGCCAGTGAAAGCCACCCGTTTGGAAAACCAGTCGTTGGCGAAGAAATGGAAAAGAGCAACAGAAGAGGAAAAATTACATTTCGCGAATATACGAATCGATCGAAGAGCTTGTCGATATGTATACTATAATGTAATGTATACCACACCTACATAAACACGTACGCGGTACAAACTAATAGACATTTAACATTAAGATCGATTAAATTTTACCATGTTACTGATAGCCGCAACTTTCAATTTTTTATTTTTTAATTGTCCTCTTGTCGATGAAAATGTCTTTGAATTTCTATATTCCGAAATCACATACGCGCAGACACAATCATAAACACACGCGTGCAACGATTTTAGGTAAGATTTCAGTGACAACACAATGGTAACATGATTTCTACTTCATATATAGTTTCCCAGTCAGTCAAACCTGCAAAGTTAAATTTTGTCCAATACCTACTATAAAGTTATGGCTACAAGTTTGATGCAAGGTTTGTTATAAACAACTTGCACGCACATTGGCAGCAACATATGCATCAAATTAGTTCGCGCAGATTCTGTTCCCTTTTAGCCCCCAATTTGACACAGGTTATATTGCAACACTTGCTACCAATTTGCTGTACCATTTTGTCAGCTGGCGTTGCCTTCAGAACCGAAGCCAAATACGGAAACAGAACGGTTATAGTTTTTCAGACAATTTTTGTCATTATTTGCTGGTAATTTGCTCGAAATTTTGTACACAACTGGTTATCAGGGTACATTCAAGTATTTCGCTTCCGAATCATTTTCGATCGTTCAACGAACGTTCTCGCTCGCTTAACGAGAAGACAGAATTACACGATCTCATGCCGCTGGATCTGATCGCGGCAGAGAATGTAGACAATGAAAATCTTGGTTGCCCGAATCGAAGGGTAGGATGGTCGCGGATGTTTAGCACAGTTGACTAGAGGGGTGGGGCGACAGTGGAGCGCGCAGACGAACGCAGAGGCGGGGCACTCATGTTTATATGCATTGTATTGCTAAAACCCTTTTAACCGAATTACATTTAGCGATTCTAGTGCCGTTTCCCCGGCCCTTCTTCCCTGAGCGTCTACCACTGGCCGCCGTCACCGTCGCCGCCACCGCCACCGCTATCGCCATCGCCATCGCCATAACCGCCCCTTGCACGCTGTATTTCCTCGACTAACAACTACAACCGACTCTGAACCTTCTCTTCGATTCTCCGACCGTTTCGTCTTTCTTCATCATAGGACGCGTGCTTGTTAGCTCGACAGATACTTCTCTCCTACTGGGAACTCATGAACGAGAAAACAACGCTAGTGGTATAGAGTCGTGGTGGTGGTGATGATGATGGTAGTCACGATGGGGGTGGTGGTGGTGGTGGCGGTGGTGGTGGTAGTGGTAGTGGTAGTGGTGAGGGTGGAGGTGGAGGTGGTGGTGGTGGGGTCGGAAAACCGATGGGGCTGGATTCCGAGACTCGGAACGGCATCCCTGAATTCTTGATTCTCTTGGTAAACAAGTGCTTAGGTGATTCACTGCTTGTTCGCTCCTATCGGTCGTCGTTTGTTTCTAGACGCCATTGCGTTCCACGATTCTATCTCGTTTTCCGGTCTAATAGATTTGCGAGGCTAACGGAGACCGAGGTTGCCTCTAAACTTTCTTCCTTGTTTTTTTTTCTTTATATTTTCTTCCCTCTACTTTGCAATGCTTTATCCTTTACCTAGTTCCTCAGCTACATTGAGTGGAGTAGGTTTAAAGGCCTCGTGTGGTATGATTTTAATGTTAATCATATTTGAAATAACAGACGATTTTCAGAGACATCTAACTACCGTTCAAACGCAGGTTCCTAATAGCTATCTTGGGAAGTTGAAAATTAGTTGTCAATGCCGGCTACACGTAGGATAAAATATAATACAAAACAATTCTAGTCAAAACGATCGCAAAGGCATCAAACAGGACGACTGACTTGTCTCGGCCCGCTGTGCATCTCACAGTGAATTCCATCATTAGCACTAACAAGGTTGGCCCGAGGCTACAAGGGGGGCTTCACCCTTCGTCGAGCAAACCTCGAGCTAGGTATAAGTACACACGCGCGCGCAAACACGTGCACGAACGAACAGGAATAGAGTGTATGTATGTGTATATACACACACTCCCTGGCTGTGACTTGACTCCTCCTCGAAGCAAGTGGGGATAATAAGATCTACGACAATCAACTCCAAGGACGACGTTGTGAGAGCATCGCGATGCGACCTATTGGACGAGCTTTTAGGCGACGTCCGCCACGTTATGTCCACATTTCTCTTCACCGCTCACTTCTCCTTACCGCAATGTGCATACTCGTCGATTTGCCACTCTACAACTGATCGTATTTATTCATTCGTTCATCTTCACATTTATCCATCATCTTCGTCATATAGATATTCTTTTTTGTGCAATACACGAAACAGAATTAAAAGAAAATGAAAAGGAAACGAAAAACTTGAAATGTAAGATGAGGCCCAAATAACACACGACGTCTTGATGATGCCCATTTAGGGGACATCAATCTAAGACGCCTTTAAGCCGTCTGCAAGGTGTCATGTGCTATCTGGGAGTGGTAGAAGAGGAAAAAATATAAAGAATGAGAAGGAAAAGGTAGGGTGGAAGAATGGTAAAATAGATAAAGACGAACCACTATGGTAGAGAACGAGTTCAAGCAAGTGCTAAGAGGGGATGGTATTCGAAGGGGTAAAGTCTGGGCGAGGCGCAAGTAGAATGGTGGGAAACTAGGAAGGAGCTAACCGCATCGTAATCAACGTAAAATGGCGTCAAAAGGAGACACCGGAGAAAGGATCTTCGTAAGATTGTACTGCAGTCGTTTATCTCTTTCTAACAAAGCATTGCAATTCTTCTCGATATTTTCAAACAAATTAATTACATACACATAATTTGTTCCTTTTTTAATGTAATGTCAATATAGAGAAAGGAACACAAACCACAGGTATGAAAACGTTTCAGTCCCGTTTAGATTAAATCCTAAAGACTAGTTTTGTGCTCTAATATTGACGTAGTACTGATATTAGTAGAAATAACAATAGTGTGAACGACATCGTTCTCAGATTAAAACTCTACTGAAATTAGTGACACAATAGTTGTATAAGCCACTATAAGCAAACAAATGCTACATACAAACAGCAGAAGTAATATCTTGACAACAATATGACAATATAACAGTATTATGCTACGTTTCATAATTAATATTTAACTTTTATGTATAACGAGTAGCGATAAATGCGATGAAAAATACTGGAGACGCCATCTACGGAAAGAACTTCGGCATATTCAACTTCTAACATTTCAAACTCTGTCCCATTGAAAAATTAAATATCGATTTAAACATACCAAACGTCTATTCTTTACGAATGATGTCGATATGAAAATTTTTTCAAAAAGTGTACAGTGAGTATAATTATCGTATTATTAATTACCATTTAATTATTAAATGGAACATTAGCTTTGATAAAAAATTGAAAAATTGGCCCTAAATAGGAACAAACATGAACTTGGTTTGTATAAAATATAAATGTTAAGCACAAACGAGGTGTCATTTGTGATACATATGTACATTAGTGAGGACAGGCCTAGATAACATGCAATGTACTTTCGTAATCGCAAAGCCGCATTACAATTATAATGCCATGCCTAATGACACCAATAAAAACAAATTCCATAAATTTCTTAAAATACCTAGGTTCAAATTTTTTTATATTTCGTAACAACGTACAGAAACAACGCCTGCAGGCCATATTGGCGCCATCTAACAGCAAGATTGGGATAGTAATTGTACATTACTTTGGGACTTTCACCGTAGATGGCAATATAGAACTCTGACTACATTGTCATTACGTATGTATTATAAAATTTATATAAATTTTATATAAATTAAATATGAGCCTTTCCTATCCAAACCACGTCCCGACATTTGTAACTATTCGGATAATCAAGTTTCTAGTATCAAACTTTCGATACTAACACACGGTTCGATTCTTAGAATAATTCTCGTTCTATTTTATTCTTAACAACATAAGACACGAAATCGTCATCATGCTTACGATTAAAAACAATATAAATACGATAAAGTAAAAATATGCTGTGCAATGTTACGTATTTGTCATAATACATTACCAGAGTTCGCCAATTTCCCGCCAAATTGCGTCTGAATAGAGAGTCAACTGTTACGACATCGATGGCGCGTACGTTTCAGCCAGTACCCTGAAACAGAAAATAAATGTTAATTCTAAGAAATTACATTAAATTAAGAATGGTTACATCGCAAATAAACAATTATTGGCTCGAGGAGTATCGTCAAAGATTGAAAATCGTACAGAAGATGTGAATACTAACTCGTGTCAGGGGCAGGACGGCTGTTGCAAAAACCGATTTAATTTGTCCCGTAATATCGAATTAATTTATGATTATTCAATCTAAATTGAATGAATATCATAGGAAAGTAATAGATATCTAATGAAGACAGTAACAGCTAGCATAAATAAGTACAGACGAAAGGTAATAATCGCGCACCTACTTCGACACAACCGAGCTTCCTTCTCGAGGAAGTTTTAAAACTGGCAATAGTTTTCAAACCGCCATCTGTGGTAAACACTTCCCATCAATTTGACAGTGGCGCCAAAGCTTATGAAACATCCGACAAAAGTTCACATTGTTCATATAATCGTCTTTGTTAGCCTTTGTGCTGCGAAGACTGTATTATATACATATCTACTTATACATATATAGTTCATATTATTGAACTTCACAGCATCACAGCATACAAAAGGTTGCAGATTGAGAATCTCAGTTCGACTAGTGACTATATTTACTGCTGGATCGTGCATATTGTTCCAAGTGAATGCACTCACCCATACATACGTATACATATAGAATGATTCACTTCGTTTGAAAGTTTATTGTTTATTTAGTTTATTATTTTCACATCATGAATCAAAAACATCGAAATACAATAGATTCACGTTGCAAAGATATAGTACCTAGAATAAATTTAGTTGCATTGTGGCCAAAGTTATTGGAGAACAAAATTTTTAATAGAGACGATGTAAATGTGCCACGATGGAAGGTAAAAATGTGTTTCTATGGTCCTTAACAAGTGTATAAGAGTGCAGTTTCTAAAGAATAATTGTTATAATGATTACTTTTCTTCAGGCAAATCTCACGGATAAAGCAACTGTACGAGATGTGTATTTGACAATTAAAACACGAGGACCACATGCGTTCGATCGTTTTGTCAAAAGTCTGAGACAAAGTGGACACGAAAGTCTAGCCGACATTTTAGAAGGAAAAGAAATTACATTTTCGGACAATGAAACTGAAACGACTGTTGGTCAGAATAACGTCGTAAATAATGATACTACCAAAGAAAGAAATTGTAGTCCAACTATGGAAGAGTAATGTTCAAAATATCCGCTACCATAAATTATTCTATAAATTTCGAGTATTGACCAATTTTGTGCCCTTTCCTTTGAATAGGGGACAAGACAACTTCTTCCATTACATGCAGCAGTCAGAGGTGCCTCTACAAATTCAGGTACGAAAGGCTATCAAATTTTTAGATGGACCCGTCTATGAAAATGTTAACAGATACCCAATGCGAAGTAATCCCCGTGGATTGGTCCTAATAGTTACAAATATTCAGTATAAATATTCGGATGGAGAACCTAGAAGTTCAGCAGCTCGCGACGAAGAAAACATAAAGGATCTTTTCAATCAAATGGGTTTTCAAGTTATATCTTATAATGATTTAACAGGAGAGGTAAACAATTTGATGCTTTGTAACATTTACAAAGATTGACAAATGTTAACTGTAATGCTTTATATTCTACAAGCAATTAGTGGAAAAAGTAAAACAATTTTCTCAACACAAAGATTTACGAAAAGTTGATTCCTGCTTTGTTATCATCGGTAGTCATGGTAATATAAGTACACAGTACGAGGTCACTGAAATAGAAGGTGTGGAATACAATTCTACGAGTGAAACACAAACATCCAGAAATGTTTTATGCAGGGATCTTTTAGACTATTTTACTGCAGAAGTTTGCCCTGATCTTGCAGGAAAACCAAAGGTCTTTATTTTTCAATTATGCAGGTATGTGTAGGTATATCAAAAACATAATTGCCCCTAAAGCGAACTAAGAAGGTGGTGTAAAGTTTGTTTATTAATATAGATATAAAATTTGTGTTATGTATTTTTTAACCAGATCAAAACTAATAGATTTTAACACATTCTCTTTCAGAGGGAAAAAGGCACAGAAGTCGGTAATAAATCCGCGACATACGACGGACATAACCAGTAATTTTCAAACAACTAACAAAATGATTGATCCTAAGGTGAATTATAACAAGACAATGAGAAATTATGAGGATATATTAGTGGCTCAGGCTACTCTTCCAGGACACGTTGCTTTTCGAGATAAAATAACTGGTAGTTGGTTTATACAAATTTTATGTGAAGTATTTATGAATTATGCATATAAAACTCACATTCAAGACTTGCTAAACATGGTATGCAAATTTTATTGAAGTATGTGATTGTTATTATATAATTATGTATGAAAAGTAGGCTCTAATTAATATTTTTCAGGTCGATGAACGATTAAAAACACAAAGGTCAATGAAGGACGAGTGTCAAACTTTGACAGTAACATCGATAGGATTTAATAAACATTGTTACCTGAATCCTGGCATTTTCAAAGAAACATAGTTGAAACAGCTTGTGATAAATATTTTCGAATATATTATGTTTATTTTGATTTGCTATGAATCATCGAAGGAATCGAATCAACTGTATTCTTCGGTCGAATTCGATTTGTTTTATACTTTTTATTACATTTTATAGAATTGATCAAGAAATAATAATAATATATAATTTATCCACATACCAGAACTTGCTTAATTTTGTCAGAACCTAATAGTCGTGTATGTTTGATGATAAGTATAATAAGAGAGTAGAAAGGTAAGAATGAAAGAAAGAGTGCTAATTGTGACTGTAAAAAGATGCCAGAGTTAAAAATCGATAATTAAGAACACGGATAACAACCCGTTTCAATTCAGGAAATGTTTACCACTGAATGATGTGTACAGATTACTGATAACTCTTTGAAATTTTATTTCCGCTAAACATTCGAACTTCTGAACAAATTTTGTGAATTCAAGTTTAGATTAAGATTTTCTTGTTCTATACAGCTGACTCCATGTAGCAAAAAATTTAACTTCCTTCGTAATATGAAATTGTGTCAGTTTATGTTTTGCACATTACAATTAATGAATAGCGTCTACAAAAACTTTTCATTGTATCCTTATGATTTATGTTCTAATGGTCTTACAGCTGTTAAGTACAAATTACATGCTTAACTATACTCTATAAAATCAAGTAGATGAAAGATATTCCAACACCTTCATATGTAGGAAAGTTCTTCGCACGTATGCTACACGTATTATTCGTGTTATTGAAACAGCTTAATTTCGGTTAAACTGGTTTTATAGAAAATTTTGTAAAACGATTGAAATAGGTACGTGATATGAATTAAATCATTGTAATCTAGAAACAATGCATACCCTTAAGACAAAAGAAAGTAATGATTCATTTTACAGGTCCACAAATGAATGAGTTAAATGTACTTCATCTTCTGTATATGTAATGCCACTTTGAATATCGCTCAAATGAACGAATTAACGTACGGGCAATAGTAGAACCAGGGAAAACAAAGTAATTCTAATGTTCCAGTGAGAATGTTGAGAATAATGTCTCTCATGTCGCACATGTTTATCTTGGTTTTTTTCTTTTTCATTATCGTCCTGTACATTATCAGGTATAAATAATATGTATAGTGTGCAATTTAATACAGGGATTGCGTATTTGAAGAACGTGGTTTTTTGATCTTCTCCAAATTCTTGATTACCAAATCATGTAGAGAACAGTAACGATTACGGACTTCGCACATAACTAACCACAAACTCACATACTCTTTTTCATCTAATTCTTGCACAGCTCTTCTATAATCGCTAATGTGTGGATACTTTGCAACTTTACTGACAACTTTTGCTCTGGAGATGAAATACCTGTTAAAGATGTAATAAAATTTCTCACTTGACTATGTATTATATTTTCATAAAATAATGAACTCTGTAAGACATTGCCATAACTATTACCTAGATATCTGATCAAAAAATGCAGCAGCTTCAGTTTCAACAGATTGTATTTCAGCAAGTGTATCTTCCTGAATTGACACACCAAAATTATTTCCATCTTCGATTTTTGGGATTAGGTAAGAAATCCACATTTTCAACTAAAAATTGACGCGCAATAGGAATATTTTACTTAGCACATTACATAAAGGAAACATATTAAGCAACCAACATCTGCTTATAATGTACTTACCAAATTGGAATCTTCCAGCAATTGTCGAATATAAGGTTTAACTATGCAAATAAGATCACACAAAGGTTTGTTACAAGGTATAGGTCCATTTGGTAGTACCAGCACTTTGGTTCCACTAGTATTGTCTATGCTATTGTCTGCTTTTAGTTTCTTTGTGGGAGGTCCATCTTCAGAATGATTGAGAATTATTGGATCAGGAATAGGTACATTTAAATCTTGATGAACATCAGATAGTTTTCTATTACAAAACCCAGGTGTCTCCAATAGTTCGTTTAACTTGACAATCTTCTCGGGAAATCCTTTCAACAGTAGGTGTTCAGCCTAAATAATATATACATATATATATATATATATACATATACAGACCGTGATATATCTTACAACAATTGAGACAAGGATGCAACAATCAAACAACATTTGAATAATTACCTTGGTCTTAAGGGAATCTTTGTATTCTTGAACCTGTAAGATAAACTTGAAATATAAATACATTACATAGGATGTCCATACTGAATCAAAGTAAGTATAGTATTCTAATCTGATTATCAATACAATATCTGTACATTTTAAACCCACGCTTGTAACGTAGCACAATTTATTGTTAAATAATGCGTTTTACCATGATACAGTACAAACTTACTTTTCGGCTATGAAAATATGGTTACACCCAGAACAACAATCGTTCAGAAAAGGAAGGAAAATCATAAACATAATAGTTGAAAAAGCAAATTGTAACTGATACGATAATTCGATGATCATTCATATGCACGATTTTGTATAAGCGTTAGGACAAGATCACCAATTGAATTAAATAATGTAAAAACATAAATAATTTAACAAGTAATATACTTGAACAATAACGACACATTGTCTTCCGAGAATATTTTTAAAAAAGCAAATACTATCCGAGATATACGGGTACCGGTCTGGGATAAACGCTATATTAACCTAAACATTTCTTCTCGTAGTTTTTTAAGCATATTACACAAACCACTCGAACTGACACTTTCTAGCGTTAACTATTAAAACTGCAATGTAAAATAGTTTACCTTTTGCGCTGTGATATCTTCCATTATATATTTTATACAAAAAAACTTTATAAAATATAACCACACTGTGCTTTGTTGTAACGTACAACTTCAAACAGGAAGTCGTGATGCATATTCCTACTGCGTCATCAAATCAGAATCTGTAACGTTAACGTGCTTACAATAATTTTATTGTAGCTTAATTTTCCGTTAAATTTAAAGAGTATTGGCTTTTTAAATATTATGTAGTATAGAAAAATAATATTACATGAATGCCTCCTCAATTTTACGTCTTAATTTTTCGTGCATTAAATGACATAAATATCATGTATTTAGATCCATTTTTGAAGAAAAATATATTATTATATCGTATAAGTAATTGAAATAGCTGTACTAATACGATAAATCCAGAACTCAGAATGATTTGTTTAAAACGGGAATATTTTAGTTTCAATTGGTCACATTATAAATTAAGAACACATTGATCAATTTGAACTATATGTATATGTAACATTTAACACTGCAAGAGGGAAATTGTAAAAAACAACAAAAAAGTTACTACTTGATCAATTCTTTCATAAATTTGTTACACACGAAAACGTAACTCCTGTAAAATAATAATGATATATGCTTGTGTTTGTTACCTTTATTTTTGAACAATTTAAATAGGTCATATAAATGAATAGCAAACAATTTTACATTATGGTATTGTATTTCACAGTTTGCACATCACGGTATCGTGTTCTTAATTTGTTACCAAAGGAAAGAACTGTTTAAAAGAAGTACTGTTGCATGTAACACCTTAGAGTTAAATGGGTTTCGCATGTATCTGAGTAACAAAAGGGATCGGTGCACGCGACGGACGCTCGTCGTATCTGCTATACAAACTATGTATGCTCGTATACATGACGAGAAGTATTTTCAATCAATCGAATCGTATAACATTTTGAAATAAATGTTATTGCAATTTATGGTGAAATAAAAAAATGGAAGTATTTGAAGCAGAAACGCGTCATTTTAAATGATATAATGAACATTACAGGGTATGATTTAAATTGTCTATAGACACGAAATGATAGTTAATGGTAATAATAATTATAATAAACTTTGTTGTTAGAAGTACGTATATATTAAATATGGCTAAGTGAGTTTTTTCGCTTTTTGATAAAGTGTGTCGACGACTTTTCCCATACTGTGTATCGTATCCAATGCAAGTTCGTAAGTTTTATCACGTGGCGTGTCCTCAAAAACAATTAATACACCTTCGCCTTGATCGAGAACACCCCTCAATTTTTTATCCAGTATCATTTGTGAGAGTTTCTTTTCCACTTGAGCGAGTGGCAATGATATGCAGGTTGCGATGTGACTGACCTAAATTTAAGAACAAAATTAACAACAGATTAGTAACAGTAGTACAGCAGTTTACATTGAATACGCTTAAATGAGAGTAAGTTAATGTGTATACCTGTACGCGAGAATAAGGTTCAACCAAGCGGCACAGGTTTTGCTCTAGCATGGCATCATATAGAGAACCAAGATGAGCGCGTACAATCACATCATCCTCTAGTTCTTCGCGATACTTTTTCACAGCGATTTGAAAGTCTGCCAGTGATCGCCGAGAACTGGCTTCGGCGACAGCACGCATCGCGTCCAAATCCCGGCCGGCATATTTAACGGCTAACTTCCCAGACATAATCGACTGAACATCTTCGGGTGTACGTAGCATAATTTTCGACAGTAACATGTACTTTAATGCTGTTAAAGCCTTTGGACTGTCAACGCTGTCATACCTGTGAACGAGTAGATCGATGAAAATAGGTAGATAAAAAATAGACTTCTCGAACACAAATCCCGTGCGGAAGAATAATTTACCCTTCGAATGCTTCGTAGAAATAAGAATAAGCTGTTTTGAAGTCTCGTTCATCGGCGGCATGTAAAATTCCAGACTGTAAGTCTAAAGCAGCTTGCATTTTGGGTGGACAGTAAATTGCATTGGCTGTTGTTCTAGCACTGGTAAGGGCTGCCCTTGCTTTTGCTAAATTACTTAGAGCATGATACGTTTTACTTTCTAATAATTGAACCTCGACTAATAGTTGTTTGTCGTCAAGTTTCTTCAGTTCTTTGAGTAAAGCAGATCCCAATTGTAACGCCTCGCTGTACATACCAGTATCAAAATATAATGCTATTAAACGTGCCTCCAGAGATTGCCTTAAAAATGTTCGACGTTCTTCCTTTGCCCATTCTATACATTCTTTACACAATTGAACCTGTACAAAGAAAAAGTTGTGGGAAATCATCTGTTAAAATATAAGCCAAAAATGCTGGATACTTGCAGCCACAGATGGACCAAGAGCTAGTTTTTCCTTTTATTGGATCAGTGCAAATTATTATAGATTTTTTGCAAATGATATTATTGCCATGGTTTTGTAGAAACAATAAAGAGTCCTGTTAATATATTGTATTATGAACTCATATCAATATGTACATTATTGTTCAGAACAAAAACTTACATGACTGAGGATGTTTCATTGTTTTAAAACAAAATTGGGTACAATCTTTTATAGGCTTCATTTATATTTCATAATTGTGTGTAAAGCATTTATGACCTGTTTATTGGTGTTTTTGTGCATTGCAAAACCCATCAAAACTTTTGCACTGACCCACTATTATTGGACTATTGCAAAGGATAAAAGAAACACATGTATCCCTTGAAGCTATTTCAAGATACCAGTCTATTTGGCTTTTGTAATAAGATTCAATACTAAATGTCCATGTACTAATATGTACCTCAATTCCAATACCAGCTTCTAAGTCCAAGAAAAAGTCTACTAATGAACGCACGAGCTTAGCAGCTTTGGCTTTGCTAATTAAGCTAAGAAATGGTCTAGTAGCTTTGATCAGTTCAGCCAGTTCTTTTGCTTTGCCTTCTTTCTTGTAGAGTTCACCAAGGTGTAAAATACCTTGTTCCTTCACCCGAATATTGTCTTCGTCATCGTCGGCGACTCCGATACTAGGATCGGAGACGATTTCATTTAACAGGGAAATACCTTCACTGCGATTCGTCATAGAAATTGCTTGTGCTCGTTCAAATAGCATTGCACCAGCCATCTCGACAGTTTTTACGTTTCAAAAGACGAAAATCTGGAAACAGATAACCTGTCTTCTTTCCTTAGACTGCGAGGATTGTTTTCCGAATAATTGTTTTTTAAAAATGCTTTAACGTACGATCAAATGTGTCAGGTAGAATTTATTTAAAGCATTGAACGTTGCATGCGCTTGCACACACAGTTATAATTACACTTGACGAAGGTTTCGTGAGTTGTCACTTTCTTTTCTGATCGTTTGATCGGTTTGATCCTAAAAATCCCAAAACTCATGTCACGCTGGCTACGTGAGTCAATTCAATTACCAGTTCATCGAAATACCTAGATTATTATATTCCAAATGTAACTATACCCTCTTATTTGCAACTTTAAATACGTAATTGTATTTTCATATTCATTTAAGTACTAAATTTTAAGTGATTTAATACATTCGAAAATATTTTCTTTTATCGTGGTCTTTTCCCTTTTCATTCACTGACAATTCCATCATGAAGTATATAGCATAGAGACATGCATAATAGACTGCATGGTCTTATGGTAGGGCTGTAGGGCTGAAGTTGAGATCGAAGGACACAAATAGCTTGAGAGTAATTTTCTCTTGCTCAAACATCGCTGAAGGTGGCAAGAAAGCGACTGAAGGGCACATAGAGGAAGGGATATTGCACCACTACAGTCGCGGACGATTCTCACCACTAACAGCGCCCTTAGAAAGGGTGACAGTTGCTCTAGCTATTGTTTTCTCTCTCTTTTGTCGACTTCAACCCTTTACATATTACATAGGTACCTATGAGGTTTACCAACTGCAGTAGAAATAACCAGTTATTGACTGGCAACTGTTCTTATTCCACTGCCTCATTTATTTACTTAAACGGTCATCATTTGTCTTTATCAGTCTTTGTCCATAGTTGAGAAATTGAGTCGTCGAATAAAGTATAATGACATAAATTTTATATTAATCGCAATTGTGGTAACGTGAATAGAGAATTCAGTTTCTTTAGATTGGACTTTAGAGTGTATTATACTGTAATCAAAAACAATTTCGAATATTTACAGCATGCATAATACGCTTCATTCTGGGACATGTGAATGTTTTTTATGATGAATAGATTTAATGGAACGGTTTTTCAAATCAGTCTATCGTAATTATGAGTTCCAGCACAAGGAACCCGTGTATATATAGATCACATTGATCTTTAACTCGCGATAAAATGAAACAACTAACAAAGAACAAAATAAAAGCAAATTTGCCCTTTCAGGTTGTTTTATACATTAATGTCTGGCTGTTTCCAGTCTGGTTGTTGATAAGCATTACTAATTTGGATCTCAAAGTAAATATAATATATATTATTGACATAATTGATTTTTAATCGTATTTAAGAAATAAAACATTGTTTTCAATGTTATTATGGCCGAATACGAATAATTTTCTGATTTCTATCTGTTGCAGTATAATAATGTGTCAAATGTTCATAATACGATAATGCTAATAATATTCCTAATACTTTTGGTGTCTGATAGTTTGAAGTTATATTTGGGATATGTTGGAAATCTTGGTGGGAAGGTAAATACTTTTATTTATATTATGACAATTACCTGTTGTTAAAACACCATTTGCCAGATTTCAGAATTGGCAGCGTGTTGGTTGATTGCAACACTGATACAACTTCCTTTGGAGATGTTTCTTATCTTTCATTATGGAACGTTGTTTCAATGTAACAAAGTATTTGTCGACTGTTTCCTGATTTGCCTCCTTTTTCTTGAGGTTATAACAGGTGCAATTGCCTTGAAGAATTTGGCAGATCTTCATGCGAGAACATTTTATTTGATGCAGTTATATAACATGCACAAGAGTTATTAATTTATTATACATTTTACTATGGTAGATGCTATCATTAAATTTTCTTATTTCCGACATTTTTTGGAGAAATTTGATTTATATTAACGCCGTAGTTTGTGCTCCCTTGATGCTCGAATAATACGTGCGCGTGTACACCGGTGTACACTAGTATGTACGTGTTTATCAACGATTTCTCTTTAACAGGTAGAACGCTATACATATGTACATATATTAGGTTTAACTAATAGTTATGCAATCTCTATGAATTTTTTGTACTAGACAATACCGTTTGCACATTTATTGGTATTGATAGTGGTAACAAACGTTTCTAAGTTGTATTTCCAAGATTATGAGTTTTATAAAATAATTGTATTACCGAAACATTTTTACGCAAATTGACCAAATAAGTTTCCATCTCGCTGATGACGATACCGTTCTTGTCGGTTTGTTCATTTCCAGTCAATGCGTATAAAAATTGCGATCGTGTGGGAACCATGCGCGAAAGAAGCTGGTATTAGAAAGTCAAATAAAAATTATAGTACATCAAGGTAGGTTTTTTTCACAACTTTTTTTTGTTCGATGAGAGCGCACTTACATCGAAAAGTTGTTGTGCCATCCAACCATGATACGGTTCCAGAGCTTCTTTGTAAGACATTTTAAGAAACGCTACCAAATCTTCTGTCGGCGTACCCATTTTGCTATCTTCGACAATTTTTTCGAAGAACAGTAAAATCATATGTAATCCTCTGTAATTGTTACATTCATTCATGTCTTCATTAGACATATCGTTGAGGAAAAAACAAGTAATTTAATCCCAAATATTTGCTGTGTGTGTCTTGTATCGAATTGATTGATTGGTGAAATTCGATTGGTGAATCGACGCAAATACGGGGGATGGCGAGAGAAAACACAATAACTTAATAAGTTCGTACCTAGTTAACCACATTAAAGCGTCCATAGCGACTAAGTTAGTTTCAGAAGCTTTTTCAATAAGAATCATGTCCTGCAAGGTTACATTGGCTTCCCTGTTTGTCGCGTACCTAGTGGCGAGCTTCTGCAATTAGACTCGAATAAATAAAATGGGTGATGGTTCCACATGAGCTTTTCAAATAACTTACATTGATATTCCCCTGAATGTCATATTTAACAGCAGCAAAAACTTTACCAAGTTTATCTGAAAGTTTGATCGATTAATTGAGGAGTTTTAACATACATAATTGATTTCTGCCTTTCGTAGGTTATGTCGGACCAAGTGTAAATATGTACATATATACGTACCCACGATTTTCACGATACCACGCGCAGCAGCTAAAAATTCTGTAGTATTTATTTTCTCGTCTATGATTTCCGGAAAAAGTACCGTAATTTCACTATCAAGCGCGCTTCTCCTTCCCTTTTCACTCGTAGCAGCTGACAACATAGTTAATCCTACGGTTGAAAACAATAGTAATTTGATTTCCTAAAATCTAAGAAAGTATGTAGGTGTAACCAAGATGTTCGTTCGAGGTAGTGGAATATATCAATAGTTTTCTCAATTACAACCGCTTAGGTTTCTTCTGAATGTGTCGTTCTGTGAAATAATATATCGATTTGGGTAGATATTGCATGACGATATCTCGGATAAATGTTTTTTATCAAACAATTTTGATAAAATTGATCACAGCAGCAATCAGTAAACCTTTACGGTGTCACGTGTAGCCTCTAAACTTTTCCCTTTCGGCTATCTATGAAATGAATATCGTATAGGTAATCGTATAAATGAATGATAACAGTAATTACGATAACGTGTTTTATGTATGTACGCATATAATGTAATGCGTTTGTATATTTAATAGGAATAAGTTTAAAGTTTAAAGAATACTTCGGTGTCAGTTTTTTCGTTTGTACAACGTTACATCCTAGTACGAATGAAGTTGTCGCATTTATTAGTTAACATGTACTACCATTGTCTATGACTATGCATTATTATCACGGATAAGGCATTCTAGTTGTTTCGAGTCATTATCATTGAATTTATAAATTACTTCGCGAATGTATTTATCGATGAAAAAGTAATTTCATGATTCTTCAACTGTACACACATGTACATACATTTCGTAATTTCATTTTATTTTATAAATCGTTAGCAACAAATTCGAGTTTTTCGGGTTTTAGCGTTTCAGCGTTTCTTTTTGCACCTAGATATCTAATAGATTTGTACATACATACATATGTGTACACGTTCATTCATGCACCAATGCGTATTCTCTTGTAATTACCGTAGTTTTATCGGAAACGTTTGCGATTCTTTTGGGGAAGGAATGATTGGAATGATATTTACAAAAGATATCATAACACTTACATTCAATGTAATGTGTCAATTGTAATTATCGTAAAAAGTTCTTATTGTTGGTATTCAACGTTTCATATGCGCATTTCTTTCTCTGGTCCTTTCTCTCGCACATACATACATTTGTTCGCTGGTTGCTTTTAACTGTATTACTGGAAAAGATTGGTTCGGATACAATACTGTTTTTCAACGATATACCTAAGGCTCTTGTGTAGCAATTCTCGTGGTGTCTGGTACAAAGTGCAAAAATTTCTATCGTAACGTAGAGTATTCGTAAAAGATAATTCCACAGAATCATAGGGCAACTAAGAGGCGGTAGATATTTATTTGATTTTCAGTTTGAGTTCGTCTAGGCTAAAGCGTTGCTTCGTATGAACATACGATACGTGAAAACTAATGCACTTCCATCGATTTGTACGAGTTGGCACTGATGCGTAAACGGTATACGCCCGAAGAGTCAAAGTCGTGCCAAGGGACGACGTGTATGAAACTTCAAAATGCCGTTGGAAGAGGATACTTGAGCACGTTGCCGGCCGAATCTTCAGCAACAAGGGTCAGGGCGACAAGACAATGTGGTGGAGCTGGTGGAACCAACGCTTCCAGAGGTGGTCGGGTCCCGGGAAATTGTCGAGAACCACATACCATTCCACCCGAGGTCTCCCTCAGTTCTATTACTCGTACTCCGAAACGCGATCTAACGACGTTCCTGTCATTGAATAAGGACAAGTGTTATGCTTCTTTATAGTTGACTCGTAGCACTCGTGCAAGAGAAGAAAACAGAAAGGAAGAAGTGGAGGAAAGAAGGAATGGAAGATGGACACTAAGAAGAAGAAGAAGACTAGATACATATATAGAAAATGGAGGAAGAAAAGAATGGGCGGACGTGCAGGCGGTAACGAGGAAGCAAGAAAGCAGACAAATCGAAAAAGGTTGGTTCCAAGATGTTTCATTTTACCTTTTTCCATCGTATTCAATGTCGTGAAAGTGACGATTGCGAATGTTGTCCATCTCGCCGTTGAACCACCGATGATATGCAAGAAAGGCCGCGCACGATGGTGTCCAAAATGTTCGATCGGTTTGCGAATTCGAGGAAGCTTGATCGATCGCGGATTGTAGTAGACTCCTGGAGAAGGATCTATTGAGTTCCGGACTGGCGGGCGCGGATAATCGACCGAGTAACCGCGGAGGACTCTGGGAGGGTGAGGGTCGAGAGGTTTCCGACAGCAAACGACTCCTCCGTGGGCTGGATAAAAGAGTAAACGGTTCCTGGACGGTAACGGTCACGCTCAATGGTCTGCTTAACGCGATCGTTGTGTGTTGCGGGTCCTTTCGTAGAACGGGATTTCGATTAAAGTCAATTCCAGCCGCTCCGACGAATACACGGTCGACGTAGTCGAATCCACGGCCCATTATACCTTCGCGGGTATGACCAAGATCGAAAGTGTGACCCAGTTCATGGAGAACCGAGCCGAGAGTAGTAGCGAAACAACCCCCATGTGTGCCGCGATAATTACTGTCGTCCATCAGTTGTTCCGTATCGATGGCCGTCACGTCGAGAAATCTCCCTAATACTTCGTTCATGCAGGTTGGCCAGGTGTGAAGGCAAGCCGAACCGAACAACGCTAATCCTCCACCGCCGAGCGCAGCGTGTCCTTGCGTTCTCGCGAGAGTGTCTTCGTGCGTACGCGGATTCGGTGCACCTTGATACCTAGTGCAAGACAAAAATGCTAGATATTTTCGATCTTTCGATGCCAACGGACCGGTCATCAATTCACGGGCGATCAACTCCCAAAGTTCCCGTTGATTCATCGCACGTGCTCTGTCAACGTTCAGCGTACTGTGCATCACTAGACATTCCGGACCATCCAGGTCTCTTTCCAGTTGAAATGTTTTCCTTCCGTAACCTGCTTCCCTTAGTTTCTCGGCAACGAGAGCTTGCAGTAGTCGTGCACCGACACCAATCCTGGTCGCGGCGCTTTCTGGCGACCGATCTTCCCCTCGAGGACCTTGAAAGTACCCATCGTGGCCGGCGCAGATCACGTAAACGGGCGTTACGCGTAATCTTGTGGTTCTCGGTTCATGAATCAGAAGGAGCATTTTTTTTTGTCCAGCCACTTCTAGCTCCAATTTGTTTGGGCCGCGTGCAAGTTCGACCACGGCCCGGAATTCGCCAGCTACGATCGGCCATTCCGTTGAACTCTGACTTCTCTGATTCCTCACGATGATTGAGTTGCATCCTATCGTTGTCCGGCCTCGTATCAATGCTAAACTGTAGCACAAACTCTCTCCGTCAATCAGATTCGACACCGATATCTCCTCTGGATTGCCATTTCTCGAAGACATGCACTGCTGATTTTTCGGTTCCTGTGAAAACTCTCTGTTCCCTTTGTATCGATACTTGTGTTGCTCAAGCTCTTGCTGTTGTTGACGTTCACGACGAAGAGTCGGTAAGCTTGTACCTGCGAGTACCTGTGAAATTTCCCTTATTTCACATATTTTGTTGAAGAGTGTTGCAGATCGATGACAAATGTGATGACGTTGTCAACGGCGACGATCACGACGACCACGACGATGATCACGACAAGGATGACGACGACGATAACGATGATGACGAAGATGACGGTGACGGTGACCACGATGAAAATAATTGTTGAAAGTTTTCATGATAATGCTTTTATTTGCAATGTTCACGTACGCGTAAACAAAATACGAAGTTATCTCAGCCTTTACAAGTTGAATTTAATCTCTTTGATGATGATTTACATTATGAAAAAAAATTGTACAAGCGGTACACGCTACCACCACGATGCGGAAAATGATTCCATCAGGTGCTGTCATCTCGTGGTGACTCATGATAACTAGTAAACTTGATAACTACTTAAGAGTCCAAATTCACATAATTTCCGTATTACTCTACTGATTCTGTACAATGTTAACAAGTAAAATGAATATCGATTCCAGGCACTACTTCCTCGGCTTATCTCGCGTGACGATGGAAATTTTTGTCCAAACTTGTACGACCGTGAAAATAAACTGAGACGATTAGACGAATATGTAATATTTCTAGGAAGAATCTTTGTAGTCACGGTGCAAGAACCACTTGGTAGTACATGACAATTGCTGTTTGTTCTTTTAAATAAGCATTGACGGTTCGACGACAAGAAACTGGCAGAAGACAGCACGAGGCGGGGGTACGTGTGTTGTAATGATCGTATGTATAGCAATAAAAAGAAAAGAAAGAATGGCCAACACGATTTAGGGTTCGCAGTTTTGATTCCGAGGTGTGAACTTACCATTTTAAAAGACGTGTGCCGAAACGATTGATGTACACGTTTGATGGAAGAGAATAAGGAAAGAGCTGAACGATACTTTTCAGCCGGTTCCGTGTATGCAGGGAGAAAGACTGTGGCGCCCAGGCGACGATGGACGGCGGGTTGCGGTACTACGGCGTCGCTGCAGCGGCGCATGCAGTCGCGCATTCGCACTCGTGCTTTTTTTCCCTCCTCGTTTCTCGTTACAAACATACCTACCCTACTCTGTTTTCTTGCCCTTTGCGTAACACGCTGTTCCGTCCGTCTTAATCTTCTTTTTTTTTCGTTCTTGATAAATCCGACTGCGTTATCATGCTTTCACCCTTTAGTCAAATGAAGCTTGAACAATTCAAGTTTCAAATTTACAATAAACCTAGTATTTTTAATTATTCGACAAGTAGTCACTTTAATGGACTTGAGCTCGTCGCATCGGAACGATTCATTTTGGAAATTCGAAAATTTCTCGTGCCAGTAATGTTAAAACGGGGCGAAACAGAGAATGGACTTTAGAAACGTATCCATGTAACACGCACCGGATATACAGTATGTCGTAGGGATCATGAGTTTATTCTGTAGAAATGGAAGTTCGTCACTGAATTGGAAAACTCGGTGGTGAACGTGCTACAAGAGGGTAAAGACAGAGAGGGTTGAGAGCTGCAGCATTCTGCGTACGTTGTTCTCTTCCCCTGCCAAGGTGACGATCAAGTTGTACCCTCACGAGCAAACTTGGCTTCCACTAGAGGAAAAAGTGGCGTAAGAGGAAGGCCTTCTACCACTTGGTAAATTTATTTCAAGTACCGAAATAAATATTAAATTGTATGTTAATTCGACATAAATATCAATAATTCTCAATACCAAGTGGCAGGAGGCCCTTTCCCTAGATTACTGTTTCCCCTAGTGGAAGAGAAGATCTCCTACCACTTACTAAACATATGACAAGTTCGGAAATAAATGTTAAACCAAATATTAATTTGGCATAAATTTCAGTAACTCCTAAAACTAAATGGTAGGAGGCCCTTCGTCAACTTCACTATTTCCCCCAGTGGAAGCCGAGTTTGCTCGTCGGTGTACATTGTTTTGCAAGTGTCTTTCTTGATATTTCTAGAAAATTCACTTTGCTACTTAAGTGGGTCTGTTTCTAATACAAGATTAGTCACAAGCACAATGAAACATTGGCGACAAGAAGAGAAATGGCGTTATGCATGGTCGATACGGTGTACGTCCCCCGCTTTTCTCCCTTTCTCCTTCCTCGTGCCACGATGCTGAGAAAGTCGTACAGCGAGAGATACGATCGCGACGAGTAAGATACAAATCAAGGAAATGGAGACAAGCGTGAAAAGATGGGTCGTGGGTGGGTAGAAGGGTGAAGAGGATACTCCATAGGTGTGCTGGTACTATTGCGACCGAGGCGATAGTAGGCCAACTTTCAGGATAAACTTTTCTTTATCGAGCACGAATAAGTGGGCAATCGTAAACCGCTCAGTCTAATTGTAAGAAGGAAGATCCCGCATACCGAACGACCTGAATTACACGCGGTGTATTATCGATCGCGGTCTGGAACTATGATTATCTAGTCGTTCAGCGACAGATTCGATTGAAAATCTGCGAAATCCATGGGAAACGCATGCACGCATCAAGTTGCGTGTATGTAACGTGGAGCATGTTGAAAGGTACCTCGGTTAGATTCGTTACCGTGGGGTTAGCGACCGTGAAAGTGCTTCCATGTAAAAGTAGAACGACAGTTTTTCAAAATCGTTGCGACGATTGCGTGCGCCCACAATCGACCTACTTGATGGCCGGTCGTTGCACCGTACCTCGGGTTTTCTCGATCGTCTCGGACCCTTGATCGTCCTCGGACAACGATGCTCGTGTATGTATGTAAAACGTGAAAGGTGGTGCGATTTCATCCTAATAACTATGATTAAATTAGTAGTTTCCAAACGTCGTTGTATACGCATCTACGAGATAGGATATATGATGGGCGACCAGATTCAACGAAAACACGTAGTTTTGTTTAAGAGCAATCGTTTCACGGTTCGCTAACGTTTCGGTAGTTGTTCGACGGGAAACTCAAAGGGTCGGAGCAGATGTAGTATTTACACGCAGAATCTAAAAGGCCAAGTTTAAGAGGAAGGAAATCTCAAATGCTACTTAGATTTTTGTGGTTTATTCTTATTATTCTAATTACCTTTGACGAGTCGTTCATTTAGTTATGCACAGTTGTACACGTTCGCGTAGGTACCTTTGCATTCAAGACCAAATAACACTGCGAATGATCGAAGGAGCAATTAATTGACGACTTATCTCGGCAAAAACTAGGTCGTGACAAAGAACAAGACAGAATGGGTTATTCGTTTCAATTGTCTTCTTTACGCGATATACAATCGTGCCGTCACTTCTTGTCGTTTTTCGATGTACAATTGGTTTCTTTCTACAGTAAATCCTCGATGAGTGTTTGAAGGCTCCTCGGCACTGAACATTAAATATTTCAGAAATTAATGGCCATATGGGGCTGAAACAAATATCATTGGTTTCAGAATTCAATGTTCTTTGCATTCCCTCTGTTCTTCATTTACGATTTAACCAGACTCTTCCCTCTGTTTCTCTAGGCCCTAATTTCCCTGTACGAACCAGTTGGGCCCAACGAAATGCATTATACAACAAGGAATTCTGATTTCAACGTGTATCGAATATCTTCACGGGTACCGAAACAGAAGGGAGAGTCGGACGATAAGGCGAAAAGATACGAAAGAAAGCGAGACTACGAAGGTAAGCCGGGAGAACGAACCACATTGGAGAGAGTAGGCCAATGCCAGTGTCAGCGACACGGCTAGTAAGTGTCTGTCGGCAAACCTGATCGTGAAAACAGAGAAACGGGTTGCACCGATTACATTTGTCTCCTCGCGTTTCGTTTCGGTTTGTTCCTTTCTGTTTCTTCTTGGACGGTCTCCTCGTTCGTCAGAAGAAAGGCTACTTGTACTTGAAATTTCTGGTTTTCTCGAACTTTGGAGAACGTAGGTACTTTGTATATGTATACGTATACTATCGAATGGTCGTGTAAGGTTCGACGTTGTTCTGTGTATTTTCTTTCTTCGTTTCGTTTCGTTGCTTTGCGAGCAACACGCGAGCGAACAACAACACACGATGACACGGTGGGAGGATTATGTGGATCATTGCCACACGCAATTGACGATAAATATGCAACGATAGGATCATGGGATGACGACGTTATACCGACGTTGAGAATAGAGTATAGATTACTATAAAGGTTACATCTCTAGACTGAGCAACTTGTACGTAGGCAGAATGAAAAAATGACGGGGAAACCGTAGCAACTATTGCCTAGCTGTTTCTTCTTCTTTTATTCATTTATTGTATTCTGCTTATTTGTACCATGCTGGCAGTGATGGTGGATCAGCCTACAATTGATACCAACACGATTGAATTCGTTTGCTTTCTTTGATTGGACTATCCTCTTTTTTTTCGATACACCATGTGAACCGTAAACAAAGGTAATTTTAACAATAGTTCTCTCATTAATTGAATCGGTTGACGATACTCGTTGCGGTGTTTGAAACGCTTCAATTAGAATGGAAGGTTGGCTCGCGTGAACCACGTTAATCGGTAACGAGTAAAAGGAAGAAAATTAATTCGCATACGAGAACACCGTGTGCGGAATTCAAGATCGGGTAGTTAGGTACGTAGCTTGCGACACACGAGCAAATGGTTTTGAAACGATTTTGGCATTGATTCGCACGACACGTATCCTCGATGAAGAAACACGTTATTCATAAGTGAGTGCGATGCGACGCGACGCGATCTGATGTGATGCGATGCGATGCGATGCGATACGAACGCAAACAATGACACTTTTTACGTGTCTACCTAAGAGAACTCGAGCAGAAAGGTTATCGAACCCGATAGTTCATGACCTACGAAGATCAACACCTAACAATACGACAAGGCAAGAGACAGTTTTCATCTTCGCAGTTATGATTAATCTTTAGCCTTTTGCAAGAATAACCGATTAATAGAATTGAGTTGATGGACAAGATTACATAGACATTTGGTCATTGTTTATCTTCCGAGTATTTGATATAGGAACATAGGATGATTTCAATGATTTTTTAATATGTCGTTGGCATGATTCTGAACAATTTTTTCCTTACCTATAATCGACGGACGGCCCTCTTTTCCATAATATTTGCAAACAATTGTCGGTACCACTACAGTAAAGGTAAAATTGCTGTTTAGGGCACTCACATCAGGTCATTTGTCTAAGTGACCTTTAGAAGGTTGTAGCCGTCGATTGTTGTTTGATAAAAAGATATTGACAAGAAAAGATTTCCCCGTATATTCGTGCTGGCAATAAGTAGAAACGGAATGCAATGAACAGACGCGATAGCCATGTCACCACAGTGTTCACCACGCACCCAAAGCAGGAAAGTGGTACCGACATTTTTTTGCGAATATCTCGAAAACCAAGGCCGTCCGTTAATTATATGTAAGGAAAAAGTTGCACAGAATCATGCCCTCGATAAC